ATGGCGAGGAGGGGCTGAAAGATTTTTGGGCATATGAAATTGGAGTTTGGAGCGGGTTGAAATAAAGGGATATGCACATCGCATAGAGAAGCGTTTCGGGTGGGGGGGGGGAGGGGGGATGAGGTCGGTAAATCTATAGGACCAAAAGTTCAAAGTCGAATTCAAACTTCTTGCCGACCAACGAGGTCAAAAAGATATCCTTCGAGTCTAAGAGATCAATTCATATTAACATTCTCTATCTAACCCTCATCCTCGAAAAAAATTCACAGGATATCACATGAAAATCGCCCAGATCCAACTCCACGCATCAGAAAACCGCTGGAAACCCATCACTCATCTACATAGTATCTGCTTACCGACCCCCCAAACAAACCTTCAACCAGCTCTTTGTCTTCGCGCTCTCGTAAACATCACTCGGCATCCGGATCACCGTCTCCCTATACAAGCAATCATTCTTGAAGCGCCAACTACAGAGAACAGCCCTCAACATGCCCCCCTCCCTCCCACACAGCAGCGCCACCGTGGGCGGCCTCTCGGCGCTAAACACACTAACTGACAGGCTCCCCGTATCCACCAGCGTGAACAGGTGGTGTCGAGGCGGCAGACTACTCTGCACCCGGGCGAGCCCCGCAGTATCAGTCAGACAGCCCGCGATCCAGTCCGGCTCGCGGCCCACGCGCTCGACCGGGTCGCGGTAAGGGTAGCAGAACGGGGTGCTCGAAGCCTCGTAGCTTAGCCGGCCGTTATCGTTGCCAAAGACCAGCGGCTCGAGTTCCGCCAGCGGCAGCACGCCCTCGAAGCCCACCAGGCTCGGCGAGCTCTGCAGCACCTGCCCGCCGTACAGCCGCCGCACGGAGAACGGGCCGACGAGGCTCAGCAGGAAGCCGACGGCGAAGAAGGCCGCGACGAGCACCTCCAGGGCGAACAGCAGGCTGTTGCCCTGCAGGCCGTCTGAGAAGGTGTAGAAGGGCGCGTAGGTGATGGCCAGGTTCAGGCCGAACAGGAACCACCAGGCGCCGGCGATGACGGAGAGCTCTGCAAGCAGCTTCTTCATGCCGAAGTGGCGCACGACGTTCGCGCGCGGGAAGCCCTTCCACCGGATGTGCATTGCCTTGCAGTTGTCTAGCAGAACCGTGTTGTTCTCGTCGCCGACGCCGACGACCTGGCATAAAGGCGTGATGTCCCAGAGGTGGGTGTGGTAGAGGTCTGGCTGGGCGAGCTGTTCGAAGGCGGAGCCCGTGCTGTGAGGGGAGGGTAGGAGGGAGACCATGCGCTCGATTAGGTGGTCCGAGTCGTTGGCTAAAGAAAGGCGGGCGATGGCTTGGAAGAGAGTGTCATCGGCGTCTTTCTCGATGCGGTAGTGTAACAGGCCCATTAGGGCGTATGCAACGTCTGCTTGGGCAAAGGCTTGGTAGTTGTTTGTGAAACGGTCGCTGAGGGCTGCGATGGCGCTGCTCAGAATTTCTAAGCGAGATAGGGTCAGTTGGCCGGTAAAGTGTTCTGCGAGGAGACGGGTTGGGCCGCCGTCTTCAGAGTCGGAATCCTGGGCGCAATCTTCCCATACTGAGCCGGTCATCTCGACCTTCTTCATGGTTGTCATTTTGAAGCTGTCATCTGTCGGCGTACACCAGTAAATCGCGTCGCCGGGTGCAAGAAGCGCTTCAGGGAGTGTCCACATTCGAGATCCCCATTCTTGCTTCAGGGTGAGGGAGTCACTTTTGAGTATGACGACGACGTGGGAGCTGCCACGGATAACATCGCACATTCTGTAGACGTCTGCGTCCAAGAGAGAACCCTTTTCAGGGGCTCGGCAGCGGTAGTCGAGCCAGTATGCGGATTTTCCGGCTTGGATAGCAGAGTATGCGGCCATCTTCTCAATCATGTTTCTGCCTGCGGGCGAGTTATCTGTATCAAAATGCCGGTTGGCGTAGCTAATAAAGACATATGATATATCCCTTGCTGGATTTTCATCAAGAACCCATTCGCCATCTCTGAACACAACCAGCTGTCTCGGACGAAGAAGCCGCTTGCGAGACGAGACATCCTTTTTCGCCAGCACGGTGCTGGTCTTGGTAGGCCTCATATCCAGAGGATTGATAGCGTGTTTCGGCCACTTCCAATGGTAGCCCGGGAAATCCTTGTAGAAGTCCTGGATCTCATCGCTCTCCCACTTCGCAGTCGTAGGCAGCACCAGCAAGATCTGCAGCGGAAACGCCACAAACATGATGCGGAAGAACGTGTTGATTCTCCCATGAACGCTGCGCTTGCCATCTTTATCCGGATTCGAAGGGCCCAAAGCCCACTCGGCAACCTTCAGCACCGTCGGCACAGACCCTGTAATCCTCGTGCGTCGCCAATCCCCAGACGCCATCTGGTTCTGGAAGACATATCGAGAAGCTTGAACAACCAGCCGTCGTGGAATGTAGTTCGTCGGACTGAGATACGTAGCCACGTCGTCGTATTTGTGCGCCACCTGGCCGAGATGGTTGCGGAACAGATACCGGCCTTTCTCATCCGACTCGAGGATGGCGGCGCTGTCGAAGGGAGTCTGCTCCTGCGTGACGGGCCGGTGGAACCAGTGCCCGTTGAACCCCCTTTTGCCGTCGAACTCGGCTGCAAAGTGTTTGGCGACATGCTCGGCGGCTGATTCCTTCTTCCGCCTCAACCAGCTGGGCTTTTGAGCAGTGGGTTGGGGGTGAGGAGACGAGGAGAATTCGCGACCGGCTGATGTTATGGATGCTGGTGTGACTTCTGGAATGGGCTTGCGTTGGACATCATAGCTGTCCATCTTGACTCTAGTCTCTTTCTTTTCGTTACACAGAACTAGACAAGAGTCTAAGGAAAAACCAGAGCCAAAAGAACGCAAAAATTCCAGACGGAAAGAAAGCACGGAGAACAACTAACAGCGAGAGGGAAGCACATCATAATTAAGCTCGCTTGCCATTCCCTCAATTTGAGGGCCACGCGCAGCTGACGGCGACAGAGTTGCACGACACCAGTATTCTCCCGCGAGGCGTACAAGGATATCTACGAGCTGACAGCGGATTCGCCACTTCGTTCGGGGTGGTGATCAGACCAGGCCGAGAACAGTACGACGTACCGAGAAAACGTACGGTCGTGGATGTGGAGATGAGGAGATGGGGAGATGGGAAGATGAAATGTCAATGCCTGCGGAGGATGCCAGGGCCGTGTCGTAATCCCAGCAACGCTCGAATATTGATGACTGCTGATGAGTGCTGAAATCGCGAGAATGGAATAGAGAACAAAACAAGATCGCATTCACCCTCAACAACGAAAGCAAGCCACAATAAATAGCATTCAAAACTTAACCTCCATGCTCCGCACCGCAGACTGATAGGCTAACCTGCGGCGCGACAACCGGGGCCGGCACCCCTTCCAAACTAGCCGACTGCACACAATCCTGGGCCTATTAACGGTGAGCCGCAACTTCTTGCTCTCACCATACACCACCCTCCTCAACCTGATAGTAGAGCCCAGGCAAAGAGTGATGCGCCTTCAGTCCATGCCAGGAGCTGACAGTGATGCAGTCGTCACACCAGAATCTGAAATCTGGGAACAAGGAATCCTGCTGTTCGAACCCGAGAGTAGCGAGTCCTTCGTAGGGGTGTCTTTTGGGGTCTCTGGATGCGAACAGTGTGAGAGGAGAGGCATATGCGGTTGATAGGGGGCAAACGTGCCTTCCGGTTCGCTCTCGCCACGATCTCAGTAGGCGCTTCAGTTGCTCTCTTCGCTGCAGAATCATCATTGGAGTCTTGCCATCCCGATGGTTTTACCAACGAGGCCCTGATCTGCTCAATTCGTTCCCGAAACGTGCTGCTGCTAATGATGATGAATGTAACCAGGTACCCGAGTAGCACGAGGTACTGTGCGATGGACCACATTGGTGTGAGTGACATGGCTGATTAACGGCATGGCGTATACCACGACGTCTGGTTTGATCGCTGGCATAATATTAATGATTATCGATTCATAGGGAGAATTTGATTGATAGTCACTTGTGGGGTAACACAAGCTCAACTACCAGCGCCGGATGGAAGGTCGACGGATATGTAGAAATATATATATATATATCCAAACAAAATATATATTCTTCCTGTTGGTTTTGGCTTGTATGTCGCCCGCCGGTAACCCACTACAGGCCGTCATCAAGGCTGAGTGGCAAGCGGATCGAGCAGTGGCATTGTCGGCGCCAGGAGAGCAGATAATCGGAGCCAAATGTCGAAATGTCGAAATTCATCTCTGCTACTCAACACTCCGTGCTGGAGCTTCGAACTTGCGGTATGAAATATGCAGAACATACTTGCATCGCATCAGAGTGCAGTCATGTTACGCGGTCATCTCGACACACCCAAATTTGTATGGGAGAGGGTGGCCCGCTAGAGAATCCCTAGTGACCCTGGGCGCCGCTCGACAGGGGGTACTTAAGATATGCCCTGGGGTATGTAAAGCTGATTAGGAGGGCAGTTTCCACCGCGGCTGTCCTGACAAGTGAAGGCTTGGGCGTGTCACAACGTCAGTCATGAAGCACGAGGCAGGTGGGAGGAACATGGACTTTGATAGATGTGATTGATATTGAGCATCCAAGGGCGAAATTCAGGTTCCACGAAACCCCCCCTCCAACTCTCCTAACCAGCTAGCTAGACAGCCGACTTAGAGATCCCTTCGCATCTTTCGCGATTCCCATCGTAAACCTCACTACCGGCGAACATGGGCGGAGATCCGGGCGCGATAGACCGGCTGCGTGCCATCTTTGACCGGCCAAACCGCGAGCAGCAGTACGAGCCTATCGAGGAAGATAACTCGGATGGCGACGAGTATGTACAGAGGAGACCGATACTCGATGCGCCGGACGACGATGGGGAGGCGGAGGGGTTCTCATGGTTCGAATACTCCATCTTTCTCTTGCTAGGAGTTGCGATGCTTTGGGCATGGTAAGTCGCAGATCTCGAACTTTCAGACATCCGTGTTGACTGTGAGCAGGAACATGTTCTTAGCAGCAGCCCCCTATTTCCAAACCCGGTTCGCAGACAACCAAAATATCCTCGACCACTTCCAGCCTGCCATTACCTCTGTTGCCTGCGTTACGAACCTCTCCTCCATGTTCGTCCTCGGACAGCTGCAAGCAAAAGCTTCTTACCAAAAGCGAATCCTCTGCGCCCTCGTCCTGAACCTAGTCGTGTTTGCCCTCCTCACGATCTCAGTCAACTACTTTCGCGGCATCTCGGCAACCGCATACTTCGTATTTACCCTGATCATGGTATTCTCTACGTCTGTAGCCACAGGGCTTTGTCAAAATGGAGCATTTGCATTTGCATCAAGTTTTGGCAGGCCGGAATATATACAGGCGATCATGACCGGACAGGCTGTCGCTGGAGTCCTGCCCTCGGTTGCCCAGATCCTAGCTGTTTTGTCCGTCCCAGTGCCAGACCATTGGGCCGACGCCGAGGAGGAGCAGCGAGTTGCAGATACGGAGAATCTCACCTCGGCAACTGTATACTTCTTGACAGCTACTGGAATCAGTATGTTGACGCTCATTGCTGTGGTACCGCTAATCCGCAAGCAAAATCGTATATTAGAGAGCAACACGTTGATGCCCGCCACCAGCGTCCAGGGAGCAGAACAGGCCAAGCGGAAGGTCGTAGGCATGTGGACGCTCTACAAGAAACTGCACTGGCTCGCGGCATCCGTCTTTCTCTGCTTCCTCATCACCATGTTCATGCCTGTCTTCACGCAAAAGGTCCTCTCCAACATTCCCGAAGACGAGGCTCCACGCCTCTTCCGCCCATCAGCCTTCATCCCCCTTGGCTTTCTCATCTGGAACCTAGGTGACCTGGGCGGTCGACTGATGACTCTAGGCCCTTTACATGCACGCAACCGACCTGTGTTACTCTTCATCATCTCCATCCTCCGAGGAGGCTTCTTACCACTGTACCTGCTCTGCAACATCATGGGGAAAGGTGCCGTCATCCAAAGCGATGCCTTCTACCTAATCTTTGTTCAATTCCTCTTCGGCCTCTCGAACGGCTGGCTAGGCAGCTGCTGCATGATGGCTGCCGGCGACTACGTTCTCGACAGCGAGCGTGAAGCAAGCGGTGGCTTCATGGCCATCAACCTAGTAGCTGGCTTGACGGCCGGATCTTTGCTGAGTTTCACTGCAGCGGGCGTGTCGTAATATAACATGATGGCAGGCATTGACAGAGGCGTTTTGTGTGTATTCATCGGCGTTGTTGGCTGGGATATCACTGGATCTGCGGGCGGCGTACTTGAACACATTGGGTGAGCGACGAGAATTTAGAGCTTCTGATTCCGCATTAGTATCAGCCCTTGATACGTAGAACACTTTGTACCAACATCGATGCACTTTGATTTTGCTGTTTTTCATGCCTTGCCTTGCTTTCCTATGCTTGTGATCTTGAGCTTGGATTTGTGGATGCATATTTCGTATTACCCGCTGCCGTTGATTCTCCTCGTGCTCGTTATTTGCTGTCTCCCAGAGTAAAGGGGTGTAGCTGATAATGCCAGCAGCCCAAAACTTTGGAGGATCCCACATAGCCAGCCCCCTTTCTCACTACAAACTATGAGACCCAGGTGGTCCATGATGTACTACGTACAAGCTTCTCTTTCCTCGTCTTCCTGTTTTCCAGATTCACAAGGCGATTGTTTGAACCCGCTATGCCGTTCTTATTATGTCTCGTGACCTGGGGTCAACTGCACCTTTCCTCTTTGGCTCTAGCGGCGCTAGTAGCTCTAGCGCCCACATATAAGAAATTTCGCGGCCTGAACTCACGGAGTAACCTCCTAACGCAATAACTTAATTCCGAGCCGAAGTAGGACCGGCCCGCGTTAACCGAGACACTAGCAAACAAATCCAAACACTTCAAGGTACGCTGCGCTCTCTCTCTCCTATCTTTCTCTCTCATCCTTCTCCCACCTTCTTGTTATTCAGCATAGCAATTTTCAAGACAAGGCCACCCTCAACCCCCCTTTTTCCCTTCCCTTTCTCTCTGCTATTCAGAATGATTTTCAAGACAAGGCTACCAGGTGAGTTCACAAGATCGTGATTTCTCAGATGGCGGCGTCTGCTAGGGGACATTCTTGCCCCTTCCTGCGCACCAGCATCTGGTCGCGCAGCTAGATAGCTGTATATTCTGCAGGAGGTCCTACCCTTTATTCACCTTCACCTCCACCCTCACCTTCTTCACCTTCGCCTTCACCTTCCCCCTCCCCTTCCCCTTCAGAACTTCTCTTCCCTTCATAACAGTCAAGTATCAGTGGGCCATTTGTATGATATGGCAGATTTGAGATCACTTTGGCTAATCCGACAATGACTACAGCTAAAAATGGTCAACTGCCCAGAGGTGGGTTGCAGTTTCACCTGCCACAAGGCTCGTGGAATGAGCAACCACCGTGTGGCCAAGCACCCACCTGCCACCCCGTACCAGTTCGTCTGTACGGTGGTGGCGGTGCCTGCGTGCAATATGAGCTTTCCGACGAAGGCCAATCTGGCACAACATGTCAGACGTATCCACCCGGCCCCGGGGGTTGACCCCAAACCCTTTCTTTGCCCCATAATCTGCTGCGGAACCAGGAGTGACTCCCTGGCCGACCAAAAGAAGCATATGCGGGGTCCCCACGGCCTCTTCCCTTGCCCGGTTCCGAAGTGCAAAGAGGTCCAGTTCCGTACGGCGTTGGAGATGCAACATCACCAACAGGTAAAGCCTTCCTTCACTCGATCTACATCTCCATTAAATGGCTCTTTGACAGCTAACATGGTTCATTCAGACAGTCCACGGTTCTGTCGCTCTGTCCGCTCTTCCTGCGCCGCCCGCTCCCGTTGCGCCGGTCGCCCCAGTGGCAACGCCTGCTCCTGCTCTGCCCGCTCATGCTGCGCCGGTCGCCCAAATGACAACTCCTGTTGCGCCGGTAGCACAGATGACAACGCCTGCTGTGTCGTAGCGGCAGTGTCGAAGGCGGCGAGGACATGGCCGATGCTTGATTTCCCCATGGGTGAATTTCTTGCGATCCGTGGAAGGTTTCGCCCTTCTACAGACTTCCCCTACGGAATGCTTTTTGGTGGTAGATTACGCATTGAATGAATCACCATTTCAACGCACCTTTTTCAAAAGTGATTTAATTCTTTTTACCAATTACTATGGAGTATAGTATAATTCCTGGTGCAGCCAGACTGACTACTCTTAACAAACCCCCCCTCCCCACCCCCCACCGTAAAAAAAAGTTTTTTTTTAAATCCTTACTTCTAAAATAAAACCAGACCAGACGGACGGAGCCAGCTCTGTATGTACGTGATTAGAGACACACGGAGTATAAAGAAGGGACTTGGGGAGTTTTGTTTGTCTTCACAGATTGCCAGTCAAAGCTAAGGAAAGAAAGAGCACACTGTGAAAAGCGTTTTTGGCATCTTGACATCGGTGCCTGATGAGATGGTTGCGTACGGCTTGAGTTGGTTTGCGACGTAAACTTCGTGAGGTGTGTGTGTTGTTTCTGGAATTGTGGAAGTGAAGAACTGAAGATGCGGTATGGAAGATCGCAGTTGGATTGGATGGCTTTTTCAACTGGTATGGTGCTTCTTGGGTTTTTTTTTTCTCTTTTTCAAAGGTGAGTGAGGTTCTTAATGATAGCTACGTCGTTGACAGTATGAATGGTTTCGGTAAGAAAAAAAAATGCATATTAAATGTTGCGTATATGGCGGTGATCGCTTTTGCCTTTTCCCGATTTTACTTCGTAAAGCTTTTTCTTTGAATGCTGTTCTGGAAGATCTGGGGGATTTGGATTTATACATGTGTGTGTGTGTGTGTGTTTGTGTGTGTTTGTGTGTGTTTGTGTGTGTTTGTGTATGGGCGTCAGAGGTTTCCAGAATGGGATCCGAGGGCATTAGAAGGATGTTGATTTTTAGGAGGAGAGCTGAGAGTTATATGTAAACTGTGGGAGTAGGCAGGAGGCTATAGTCCTAGTACAAGAATAGGCAGCTGGGTGAATAGCTGAATCGAGATCCCTCTCCCGCTCCCGCGCTCGCGCTGGATTAAATCTTTTTGCTTATATTGTAATTTCATGATGGGAAACGGAGAGATTGATACACCGGTCTCAAATGTAGAGTTCTAAACTTTTTGGATTCTCGTCTCTCAACGGAGGCTACGCGTGATGGCGCGATCCTCTGCTGGTAAGCCTAGACCAAAGAGTGCCCTGGCTACCGGGTCTGAGAACATATGTACATATAAAAGACGACTTCTTTTCGGAATACACAAGGAACGAGATGAACTTGCCTAAACCAGGAAAACCACGAAAACAAGGGCAAGAATCGCAAATAAAAAACAGAGGGAAGAAAGACAGGACATCTGATATATCCTCGAGCTCGAAGCCTTCCTCAGGTGGGTGGTCCGAAGAATCGAGCTAGAAGATAGATACCCTTGGGATTATCGAAGTTCTAGCACAGCCTCTCACGATAACGATTAAGAGAAGGCTGCTCCGCTTCAGCTTCAGGGAGATTTGTTGGCCGACATGGAGACGGTTATGTCGATTACAAGGAAGTTTGTTTGCAAAGAGGATGCAGGTCCCACTCTATTTCCTTGATCTATTCTAAAATTTTCCGGTTCTAGTCATGAGAATATTAGGTGTTGTTTTGCTCGCGATCTACTGGCTGCAAGTATGAATCTCCTGTTGAAATGGTAACGAGAAAAGGACTCTCGACAGCAACAAGAAAGCTTCGCAGCGCTTGCAAAGAAAGCTCTAGCTCGCTTTACGAATTCTCAAAATCAAAAAATAAAATCGCAACTCGATAGCCGAAGTCGTTCGGGAGTCTGTCTAAAAGCGAGCCTTGAAGTTCTCCGACTATAGAACTTGGAGAAATGTTAACTGAGTTTGAAACCCTATATGCCATATCTTCATGCTTGTGTGTAAGCTCGATTTGGCTACTGGCCGGCCCACTGCGCGGGAATCATGCTTGTATATGACTATGACCATGACCCTTCGGCGGTATCGCTATAGGATAGACACAATCCAGTGAGATGGACGAGGTTCGTCAATGGTGGAGCGCACGTATTTCAATACCCACGGTCGCATTGATTGCTCATGAACCCAGATACGACATGCTCAGAGACGAAAAGCAGGCACAGTTTGAGAAAGAGGCTGGTCTGGTCTCGGTCTCGGTCTGGCCTAGTTGTACGAGTTGCGAGACTGATCAAGCTGTGGACTGGCACCACCCGCGCTAGCGAGCTAGTCGCAGAAATATATTACGGAGGTTTATTCATGTGAGAATGCGGGACTTGGCTTGCGCTCTTGTTTTCTAACAACCAAGAAGGAAAAATGGAAGGAAGAAGGGAATTGACAATCGCAAGAAGATCTTCAGCACCGGCCGCTCATGAGGACATCCCGCGGGACCTTTACGTACGTAGTACACGATTAAAATCTAGATCTAGGCTGTAGTACCTACTTGCTTGCAGATCAAGAGCGAATACGGTAGTATTTGAGCTCCCCCACCCCCCAAAAAATCCAGCCCAAGCGAGGCTCTTTTCACTACAATCTCCAAACACATTTCCCCTTTTCCCGCTTTTGTTTAAGGCTTCAACTAGCTATCTTGTGTCATCATCATCATCATCATCATCGTGGATCGTGGTTCGTGATTCGTGGTCCACCCAATGCTACAAGACCGGACTTGGTTTCGTATGCAGCCGCTCGGATGTAAGCCATGCGTGCGTACATCCAGCACGAGACCTCGTCGGCCGCGGTCTCGCTTCGCTTTCGCTTTCGCTTTCGAATTCGATTCCGCGTGCTAGCAAGAAAAGACTACTTTCCTCGAGGGGTTCCTCGAGGGGGGGGGAAGAGGGAGAAGGGGAATCGAAATTGATGTAGAGCCAGCCCTGTGCTTTCGTCCCCCGTGTATAGAGGAGGATTCGTGTTACTACTACCGCTGCTCACTGCACTTCACTTCACATCAATTTCCACTTTTGATTCAAGTTCAAGTTCAAGTTCAAGTTGTAGTTCAAGTTGAACTCAACAAGAGCATGCTGCATTCACATGTATATAAGAATATGTACATATCCCCAGCCAAAAGGCCGAATACAGAAAACTCAAGCCAGCAAGCAAGTACTACAAATACAAGACAGTACTCCGCGCCGCAATCTCGCGCCTGCGTATGATACCACCCTCTTACTTCTCTTGCTAGCATACCATGAGAGAGAGAGACCACTCATCTATATACCTGCCATGTTGCAACATGGTGTCCACGATCGATCCACCCACCTCTTCTTGCTCTGGCGGCAGACCTTTGGAAGACCAAAGAATTGGAAGAGGAGGAGGGGGGGCGTGAGAGACAGGGTGAGAGGTTGGGAAAGGGTGGTTGAGGACAAATTATCTTCGATCGATCGCTCTGCTTTACAGAGAGAAACCCCGCTTAATCTCTATTTTCGCATGCGAAAAAGGGCAGAACGAGCGAGGCGGATGTGACAAGCATCGTTGATCGTCCTTGTAAACACCGTGGTATCTTCCCATCCCGGGACGCCCGACACGAGAAGCCGGCTATCATTTCATTCCCCTGCCTGTCTTTCATCTCATACGAGAAAACGCGGCGCTGTATCTGGTCTCGATATCGTCACCTCTGCGATGCCACATCGGTCCCGAGCCACGAAGCAGACAGTCGCTTTTCTGAGTGCGCTCGATCGCCTCCCCATTGACGTACCACCCCTCCTCGATTAGCGGCCTCTCAGTATCCTTCCAGTACTTGGCCTTGTCGGGGGACTTGACGTCCAGGTCACCGATCCGAGCCTCGAGTCTGCGCACATCCCTTATCGGGCCGTCGGGGAAGCGGACGAACACGGTACAGTCCCTCAAGGTCATGGCTACTAACAGCTTCTCATTACTGAGGTCGGGTTGCATGACACCCTGAGTGTCCATGGCTTGTTGGCAGTCGCGGAGACGTCTGAGCAGTGTGGTTGTGCTGAGCCAAGCGACGAAACGATTGAGTTCCGCTTGGGTGGCCCGGGGCCCGAGGATGATCTTAGCGCAGGAGGCGATGTGTTCACGGTTTCCGGAGACGAGCTTCAGTGGGCAGAAGGTCTTCTCGTGAGGCAGGTTAGGCTTGCCAGTCACGTCGGTCATGTCATTCTCCCGGTCAATCAAGGAGTTTTTGCGGGCGACTTTGGCGCAGGTACGGCAGCGTCTGGCATCTGAGGGAGCGGAGGGGGATTGGACGAGCCACTTGGGTTTGAACTGGACGATTGTCTCGCCCGGGGATGCTGGTCTTGTCAACAGAGATCTAGAGTTTAATGTGTGCTTGGCATACCTGGGGTCATAGCCGTCACGAGCAAGCCGTAATCGTCATCGGCGAGCATGACCCCTCTGCGCTTGGCTAGTCGGGGAAGCGACTCGAGCTCCTTATTGAGGCGAGAGATGATATTACCAGCTCTGACACTGACGATGCCCTGGTAAACCAGTTGGCTCTCCGCAAAGAGCGGACGGATGAGCCGCACCCACGCATCTTGAGCGATAGCACAGGGTAAAGTCGTTGGAAGGTCCTTGCGAAGCCGAAGTAGCTTATCTAGATCGCTGTTAGCGATGCAACTAGAGGATTGCCACTCGACGCGATCGAATCCTCGAGAAGCGTGATTTTGAAAGGCCACCCACTGTCAAAAAAACTATCATCGATGGAGTCGGTCTCAAGCTCAATCTCACTTGGAGGTGGAGTGCCGGCGCCACAATGCTCAAGCTCGGTTTGTCGAGGTTCATCGCTTGGTGGAGACTTCACGGTGATCTGATATACGATGTTGGCAGCGCCCTCTGCGAGGAAGTGGGTCTCGGTATGCTCAGGGAGGATTGGGACCGTGGAATTCTCCATGGTAGCGGTCGCAGATCGACTCTATTGCTTGATGGATTCTGGAAGCCGTGAAGTGAAATTGTTGAACAAGAAAGGCTCATGTAGATAGGTAGATAATTAGCTGTTTTGGTATGCTCGTAGCCCGTCGGTTACCAACGAATAAGCACTGGCACTGGGGGAGCCCGGCCCGGTATTTATCCGTTACCGACCGGACTGCCTCCAACCGCATTCAAGCAGGCGGAACGAAGAGTTCTTGGGGTTTTTGCTTCCAAAGAGTCCAGAGGAGGGCTGTGTCCTGACAACGCAGCCCGCAGTTTATCTCAAAGCAGATCTGAGAGTCGTTAAGATATCCCACAGACGAGAATGCAATGTAAATTACTCAAAGGAATCAGGCCGTACCAGCAGAGATCCGCATCTGCAGTTGAAGGAAGTTTGCAGCTATTGAATTGGAAGCCCGGTTGTTGGCAGTGGTTTGGTGCAGATTGAGTTCGGTATGATTAAGGCTCGGTCAAGGATGTGTAGTTGATGGTAGTGTCGACCATGCGCTCTAATAATAAAATAGTACTAGGATTCCAATCAGCTGAAGTCTACCAGATGGATTGGAAGATACTTACCCTCTAGTTTATTTTTCTACCGATAATGGAGATAAGATATGTATAAGGGTTATTACAGTAGGGGTTTCTTTCTATTGTTGGGTTCCCAAGACCGTGGATTTGACCTGGACAAGAGCTGCCCTTCAACCAACCACTCCTGGCAGTAAATTAAGCGATGCTCTGGGGGCGACAAATAATGAAAGTGTATTGTGAAGGAGGATGTCGTCGGTGTATAGGTACCTATCCCATTGCCACATTGATCCCGGTCTAAGTAACAGATAGCCAACGAAAGAAGTGCTGGATAGAGGCCGAGCCAGGTTAAGGATCGAAATGTGCCATGGCCCGAGGAATTATGTGCAAGAGACAACAAATATACAAGTGTTGAGAAGGAACAAACATGAGCCGAAAATGCAAAAGAATGAAGTGGGAGTCGGATCTACGGAGTAGTGCTAATTGTGGTGGCGATAGTCGCTTGTTCTGTTGAGGGTCCGCGGCGCTTAGTCATGGAGCCTGGCCTTGGGGTACGGGTACCGGTAGTGGGTGCGAAGTACGTGCCTAGGGCGAGGTACAACGATACGGAGGGTGTGTGAAATACAGAGATACCTGGGTAAAGTCGGTGAAAATGATATGTACTTCTATTTGTATATGTTATACACAATATTTCTCGTTGTATATATTATACACAATATGTCTATATGTCCATATGTCTACATGTCTACATGTCTACATGTCTATCTGTATACCGGTATATACAATCACACCAACAAACCACAGCCCATGTGATCCGCCATGCAGATTGCCTTCTCCACGTGATATATGCAGAGCTCCACTCTAATTCCCCACCTCCCCATGACGGTGCCGAAAACCTTCAAGGAAATGCCCAGGATCAACATCTTCCTCCGCATCCTGATCTCTGCGGCGTCTACCTACCGGTACTCACCCTCACACACTCGCATTCACCCGCTAATAATAATTCTCATCAACTTGTTTGACCTCCTCCTCATCCTCCTCTTCTTCCTCCTCTTCCCCTACCTCCTCCTCCTCCAACCTATTCACGTCCAAGTCGTTTTATAACAATCACCATTTCCTTTCACCCTAAGGCCTTCTTATCACCAGGGCAAATCAGCGGGTTTGCACACGCGACACCCAGAGAATAAAGTCCTATCACCATCGCAAGTCCCACTACCCTCAGTATACAGAGACGGCGCGGCTCTATGGACTTCTAATGCCATCTCACCATGGCCTTCAACTTCAACTGGTCGCCTTTGACGGCCGATGCGGACTTCTACCAGAGGGCCCAGGAGATGCTCACGACCGCGCTCAATAAATCGCCCAAGCCTCCCATCATCGTCGACGACATTCTGGTCAACGAACTGAACCTGGGCAGCGTGCCACCCGAACTCGAGATACTGGAGATCGGAGATCTGGCAGAGGATAGGTTTAGGGGCATCTTCAAGATGTGCTATTCTGGAGATGCCTTCTTGACCCTCAAAACAAGGGTCCAAGTACGTCGCACAACAACCCCTTCTCTTCACATTGTTGCGGATAACTCCTATTCCTCTGGGTGCATTGGCTATGGGAAATTTGCGCACATCGATAAGCGCTCATCCTTTGGTGGCATCCCTGGATGGGCTATATATAGCTATATAGAGCTGAGGCTGATATATCAAAAAACAGGCAAACCCCCTGAATACATATCTTTTTTCCAAGCCGTCTTTCACGTCCCCGCAGCCCCTCGCAGCCTCCTCCGGCTTGACGATCCCGCTCCAGATCACGTTGTCAGAGATCAAGTTGTCGGCATTCATCATTTTGGTTTTCTCCAGATCGAAAGGACTGACGCTCGTCTTCCGAAATGACCCCCTCGAATCGCTCAAGGTCTCATCGACATTCGACTCGATACCATTCGTCCGCGACTACCTGCAAAAGGAAATTGAGAAGCAACTGCGAACATTGATGATGGACGAGCTGCCTGCGATCATCCATAAACTTTCATTGAAATTGTGGTGCCCGGAATATAGCGCAAAGGAAGAGGAAGAGATCGCGCATGCTAAGACGCTGGACAAGGAAGATGTCGCCGTAGACCCATTCGCCAGCCCCCCACTGGACGCAGTGGACTCGAGAGGAAATGTCCTGGATGCGAATGAGATTTCTTCACTGTCACTAGATGGCGGGTCTGAGATCCATTCGCTGTTCTCCCAGAAGAATTTACTCCGCCTGGCGGCATTAACCGATTCGCACCGAACCCTTTCTTTGTTCACGCCATCCATCCGCGATGCTGTGTTCAGAGCTTGGGCAGGGCCGTCATCTGATCGCAATGAGGGCGCTTCTACCCCTGCAACACCAACTCTCATTAGGTCGCACTCAACAGCCGGTAGCACTAGCACGACGTATACCTTCCTGAACAGAGGCTCAGAAGATGGCCACAGCAGTTTGCCTTCCAGACCTTCTCTCGTGAGCTTGCCATCAGCAACTACCGGACTCGGCCTGGGTGCTGGTAGACATTCGCAGTCGCACAAGCGCAAAAAGAAGACGCGCGTGGTCAACCTCCGGAAGCCCAAGACGACTGATGATATCAGCGAATCTGGCGAAAGCGAGACTGCTTCTATTGTGGAAGCCTCGGAGCCCATCATGTCCAGCCGTGTCCCAGAGCCGGAAGATAACATCATTGAGCCTCCCCAGTCTCCCAATCACCGAGTTCGTTTCCGCACCAGCAGTATTGACCTTGGAGACTCGCCAAGAAAGTCCAGAGTGTCTCATCCTCGCCCAGCGCTGAACATGACTTCAAATATGCCACCCGAGCAGGCAATACTCGACTCTGCCCCGACGGCAGAGAAGCCAGAGTCAACCGCTCCTATCTTCAGTCGAGAGCACAGACCTGCTCACCAAACTTTCGCTCCCTATTCAGCGGAGAAAGCATCTTCCACCGCGCGATCTCTCGCTCCAGCGCCTCTGTTATTAGAAACCCCCTCTGCAGCAGGAAGTATTTTCGAGCAAGCCTGGGTTATGAAGATGGCTGGTGAGATGGCACGTCGTGCCCACGACGATAAAGCTGTCCACGCTGCCCGCGAAGGATGGTCGCAAACTCACACCGAAAGAGAAGACACCCCGCCTCCAGCATACGAGGCAAAAGCTTAGTACTACTCCCCTTTCTCGATTTATCGATCACAGAGAAACTTTTCTTTTGTCACTCACCAAAATGGGTCGAAGGCGTTTTGGAGTCGAAGGTTAATACGACGACTCACTCCTCTCTTTTGAAATTACATTTGTAGCGATTTAGCGTGATTCTATGGATAGCCTCTTCGGATGGTCATCCACGTTCCTCTGGTAATAGGTGGAGCTGGCTTATGGGGTCGGGTCCATGGGTCCATGGGGTGGGTAATGCGGCCAGGCTCTAATCAAGACCCGTGTATTTTTTTTTTTTTTTTTTTGGCTTTTGGTTCTCCGATAGAAGAATGGGTGGTGGAATAGGATGGGAAGGGATGGTACGGGACGGGACTGGGTTTACGCACGTTACAGACTGACACGACGTGTCGTCGAGATCTTCCTTTTCCTTTGTTTACTTGATCGGGTGAGGTGTGGATAAGATACGAGACGGAGCGATAAAGATGAGAGAAGAAGACACGGGGAGGGAGCAAGGAGGGGGAAGAAGCAGTGTAACCTTGTCATGATAGTGTATTAGCCAGCATCCTGCCGCGGACAAGTAAGCAAGCAATGAAGGGATGTCTAGACGATTTTGAACGTATGGCGTAGTATTGAGATGAGACACTGTAGGCCGGACAGCAGTGCTGCTGCACGAACTTCCACGTGCTATCGTTGAGGAAAGGAGGGGAAGAATGAAATGAAGATTGAAAGCGTCACAAATCTTTGGATCGCTGAGATGGGCCTCCGTTAACATGGCATCTCGTCTATCGTACTAACCTACACAAGCCGTACATCTTTTCCTCTCTTCACGCCCTAACTAACCCATGACCCGATTTTCTCGATCACGTGTGATTAGTATTAAGCCTAGACTTATATCGAATCTCTCACAACGCACTCCCGCGTCGGCAGGCACACATCCAGCCTATCGAGGTATTTATCCAACGGCCCTTTTGGGCCCCCCACCCATTTGATATACCCATGGAACTCCTCCTGCCCCTCGCTCTCCAGCGGCAAGCGATCGTCGCCCCAGTGCCCCTCAAAGTACAGATAGTTGACCGGCGTGCCTTCGATTGCCGCGGTGAACTTCTTCTCCGTGACGTCGAGCGTGTAGTAATACGCTTCGAGTGTCGGGTCCCACAGCTTGCCTTGCTGCGTACGGTCATATGCTATGTGTGCTGGGATAAAGCCATCTGGGTCATGTCAGTGAGTGAGGTCTGCGGGGCGGGAAAATGAACGAGGCAAGTACTGGTGCTGTGGAGGTCGATATTACCGGCTACTGCGTAATTGGCGTGCGAGCCTTTTGCGCTGAACGAGACAGGTCTCTTGCCGATCTTGCGGACAGCCGAATAGGTGAATGCAAAGCCAAATTCGTGCTGGGAGTACCAGACTGCGGTCGGGGTTCCGTTTTGGAAGCGCACCATGTTGTGTTCCCTGGCATCGTGTTAGTTAGCTAGGCTTTTGTGGAGGCCAAGAGTGGTGAAGTACCAATCGCCTAGGTGGTTGCCGACTTGGTGGCCGAGTGCAGAAGGCCCGTCGTTGAAGGTGTAGAAATACATGTAGAAAGCATCGACGAGGCCATTGCCCTTGTCGGCGACTATGATGACGGTACTTTTTGCGCCGGTTGATGCTAGGGTCTTGGGATCAGGCGATTGGCCTTTCAAGAACCCGGGGTACTTGACAAGACCTTCGGTTGAAGTGAGGAAGATCTTCTCTCCGCCGAGCGTGTTCAAATCATTCAAGTTGTCCAGGTTGAGCGGTTTTGGCGCATCAGACACAGCAGTGGAGTTGATAGCTGGGAAGGTGTTCTCAATGTGCTTTTGCATGTCACTTGGATTGTATGGATCCTCCGAGTGCATAAATACATACGGAGCTAAAAGAAAATCAGCTTACTGGTTGTCTTGTTTGTTGCTGGGGGAAACGTACCATACTCCAAGACATAGTCCGGTATCGCAGTGCCATCAAGGCTCTTAGCAAGCTCAGCTCGCAGCGCCAGCGACTCCCCTGGAATCTTGTACGCTATCTGCTCATCTCCATGCCTATACACTGCAACCGACAACGCAAGAACGAACAGGACCACAACAGCCAAAACCACCTGATAGCACGTGACGGGTCAGCCTTTCTTCTTATTCTGTTGCGCGACCAGAAGAGCGTACCCTGACTTTCGAGATGTTTTCCAGAAAGACTCGTAACCTGGGTGGTAAATATCTTATCAAGACGCCGCGCGAGGCAACTCTTGCCTTTGATGGTATTGCGCCGGGCAGGAAAGCGTCATGCTCGAGGTCGCTCAGCTCGACATCATCCTGGGCTTCGTTCCCGCGACCATTCATCTTCGTGAGCTGATCTATTCAAAAAGCAGGTATCTTCCAGAGAGGACAGCTGGATGAATATAGGGCGTTCCGGGGCTATCCTAGAGGTCGGGGTGGCTCGGGAATGGGGTCAAAGCTGACGCAAACGGGTACGGTTGCATCGGAACAGCCACGAAACGCCCTCGGATACCTCGGTGGAATTTGCCCAGAAGTGGTAAGCGCCGTGGAATTAAGAATTAGACCTGTAAATACATGGCCGTGAAGACTGCTGGTGTCAAATTGATGAGAACGAAGTTAGAAAGTATACCCTCGAAGACACTGTGCTCGAAGCTGGGGTGTTCTCAATGCTTGACTCAGTTCGTTCCCATGGTCGTGCGTAGCTGAGTCAGCTAGCTAGCTGCAGGACCCGTGTTTTGACGACGACGAGTTGACTCTCTCCCCATTCAAGCCCATCATTATCCATATCGGAATTGACTCTGTAAATAACTATACAGGACACACCCAGTCCATATACGTTTACTATAGCCAAAATCAGTCCTCTATCTGAGCAGGAATTTGATATGTACATGCGAATCTGAGACTATTGCCTCCAACCTACCTAGCCGAGCGAGCCATATAATATTATAAGAGTACAGTGCAAAGATTCATATGTTGATTAAGAAGCTTAAACTATCATGAAGGTTATCTAGCGTAAATAGTTTTTGAACAATTAGACATAAACTACTATCCTGCAGACTATTCATGTCAGACCCAAATCCCGTAAGATTCTACTGCACACCCATCTAGCGTTCGCCAGTGTCACCTACCACGATCTATCTTCCTCATCGGGCAAAGGCACTTGCCAGCCCTGGACCGGCGCTAGAGATATAACACCGAATGATACCATATCCATTTCTCCTGTCTTCTCGGCCGCCAAAGCTTTCTTCACCCTCGCCAGGTCCTCCTCAGTATGCTCTTCAGCTTCAAAAACAGCTTTGTCCGCCACTCTGTACTCAGGCTTTCCCAGGTCATCAATAAAAATTCTCCTCTCCCTCTTATCCTGGAACTCTTTTGCAATCACTGTCAAGATGTCGTTAGCATCGTACTCGAACGCAACTTCGATAGTCACTTCACCTGCCGGTTTCTCCGGCAAAGCCCCCATCTCCAGCACTCCCAATTCCCTGTTATTGATAGCCATCAACCTCTCGCCTTGCAGGATCCGTAGGCGGATCTGCGACTGGCCGTCTTGAAACGTGGTGACGTTGATTGTCCTCCGAATAGGCGTCATATGACTCCGAGGGATGATTCTGGTGAATAAGCCGTTCGAAGTCTCGATCCCGAGCGAGAGGACGGTGATCTCGAAATTCCCCAGCATAGGTCCGCTGCCCCCAATGCCGGATAGCACCCGAGCTTGTTGGGCGGCTCCGCGGATGATAGCCTCGTCGGGATTGAACCCCCCAGGCGCCGGCTCGACTCGCTTGTCCTCGAAGTACGCCTCGAGGAACGGCTGGACTTTGGCTACGTGCGTGGGGTCGCCTTTGAGGATGATGCTTTTAATGCTGGTTGTGTTGAGCTTGGCTTCCTGCAAGACTTTATCAATGTGTGTAACGCTTATTTCGAAGATCTCTTTGTAGAGGCCTTTCAAGTCATCTGGCGTGACGACCACGGAGAAATCGCCAACTTGGATTTCGGCCGAAGCATTGGTAGCCAAGACTCCCTCGGCATATCTTACCCTGGCTTTCAGTCCATCAATTATCTCTATAGCTCGCTTTAAGCTCCCACCGTTGCCAACCGAGAACTTCTCAACAATAGCATCGAACAAAACCCGATCATAAGCCGCGCCTCCAAGTGATCTATCCCCCGCGCTGGCTAAAATCTCAAAAACACCCTGATCCACAGAGATCACGGTGACGTCCAAACTCTTCTCACCAACATCGTACACAACGCTCAACTCCTCGTAATCAGGACTCTTGGGTTCCTTTTGATCAAGCTCGTAGCCTATCGCCGCCGCCGTCGGCTCATTGATAACACGGATAGCTTCCAAGCCGCCAAGACCAACAGCGTCTTTCGTTGCTTGTCTCTGGTCGTCCTTAAAGTAGGCTGGGACTGTGACGATGGTGCTTGTGATTTCGTACCCGACATACTGCTCAGCGCTACGTTTCAGCGTCTTGATGACTTCAGCTTGGGCTTGTTCTGGAGTAACGAGTTTTTCTCCGCCGTCGACATGAATACTGATATAAGGCCTGTCATACTTGTTGATGACTCTGTAAGGGAGTGTGTCAATGTCACTTTGTAAACTCGAATCGGTGGAGAACCGACGGCCGATGAGGCGTCTATTCAATGATCAGCCTATCCCAAAGAAAGGAAATGACTGCACGCACCTAGCATCAAATATGACATTCTCGGGATCATGGAGAGCGTGTTCTTGCGCTTCCCTTCCCACGAGAACCCGCTCTTTGTAGTAAGCAACGTAATTCGCCGTTGTGCTTCCTCCGTATTCGCTGACAAGAATATGACAGCCAGTTTCGGTAGGAACCGCAACCCGCGAGTAGGATTCTCCTAGCTCAATAGCGATGACTGTCACATCAACCATCAGCTTCGATCCCTCTCTCTTACAAGAACCGGCGGAATTTGCACAATAGCTTACCATGACCATGCTCGGCATACCCTTCAGGTACATAATTCTGGTACTCCGTCCCGTCCAAGACCCGTCCTCTAGGCCATGGCCCAGAGGTCCTTGGGTACAGAGCCACCATCAACGCTAGCGCATTCAGAAACCCAATGGTAGCGATAGTCATATACCGGAAGGATTTGTCTGCCCACGTATCTCTCCACATTTTCGCAAGTTTGGATTTTGCGACTGCTGCGGGGATTTTTCTTGCTCTGGACATCTTAGTAGCTCGTCGGTTATGGCTTGCACAATGACGGTTGTTTCTCTTCATTCAAGATGGATGGTGTTTGTTATCTACTTAATGCATTCTCTACCGCGGCGCAGTTGACGAGACCTGTCCTTCGGGTTGATTATGCTGGCAGGTGAGTCATCAGGTGAAAATTGCCTGAATGGGAAGGGTGCGAGAACACATATCCTGCAGCTGTCTAGTTTGTCTCGCTGTTTCTATCTGTCCTCGGGAGCTTTGATGATGTGGCTAGAAAGAATTGTAGAGAGGTCGGCTGCCTGGCTGGGCTAGGGATGAAAGAGTCAGCGCATGGCGGAGTAGGTTTAATTTAGCGAATGATACCCCGCTTTGCCCCTGAAGTAAACAAAGAAGTATGCCTGAAGTTGTGTCAACATTCGGGCTTGCAGAAACTTTCCGATACTTTGGCTTTTTAAAGCTACTCATTCTCAACTATAAGCTTCAAATAATTGAGGTCAAGTAAGAGTTTATTCAAACGAAACCCCGAGATTTAAGACCTTGAAGCATCGTGCGCAAATTTGATAGATCGACGGGTGACAAGTGAACCTATCACCGATCAACCTGACCTCTCTACTTCGGAATAGACACCCCCGAGATCTCCTCACAAGTCCGCAAAAGATTCTCTTGAACTTCTACGTTCTTCGCAGCAGCATGCAAATCATTTGCCTAATTCGCAGCATAATACTTCCCACTCCCAACCTCCTCCAGGTCTCCAGTCGCAAGCGTTCCCAAAAGCCCAACAAGACTTCTCTATGGACCCAGAAGCGCCCGATCCACTCATCTCAGTTTTAACCCAAACAGGCGAGAACGCATTGCTGGAGACACCCGGCCAGTGTCTCGTAACCGAGAACGCGAGCAGGACGTCCATCAACCTTTGCAACATCAACATCCCGCCCTTATAATCAAGATAGACAAGACACTAAGCAGCTGAGGAGATAGCACTTACTTCGAGTCACTGTAAGCCCGCATCCCATCCCAATCTCTCCCGTCGTCCGTCCACCCCACATCAACCAAGTCTTCCCTACCACCCCGATGCAACCCCGAACTCAAATAAACCAGCCTCCGCGGCTTCTCCATCAAACAGGTCAGCACATAAGAGGCCAGCACATTGACCGCGAACGCGATCGCCAACCCGTCCTCCGTCATCTGTCGGCCTGTCGCGTAGCCCACGCCCGCATTGTGGATGACGGCATCAAAGGGCCCGGATATGTTGGCTTCGTGAGCAAGGGCTTCGGTCAGCGCGATGCTGCTGAGGTCGCCGACGAGGATGCCGGCCGCGCCAGGGGTGGCGGAGAGGGTTTCCTGCGCACGGGGGGGAGAGCGTGCGCGGAGTGTTACAGCGTGGCCAGCGCTGATGAGAGATCTTGCCAGGTGGTGACCGATGCCGTCGGAGGAACCGGTTATGAAAATGCGTGCCATGTTGGGGGCAAAATCATTTTTTCGCTTCTAGTCGCTGGTTTTGAAAACATGGGGAAAGGGAAGGTATGTATATACATACAGGGGACTTTGGTTTTTAGGCCTGGAAGTGTGAATTTAAACCCGAGGCTTTCGGCCGTTCGTGATGTCATGCAGAATATTGGGACATCGAAGTGATTCTACTGCAGAGGGAATGTATATGTATTCTGAAGATAAAGGTATCATTATAGGTACTGTATATGAAGATAAATAAATTAGCGTACTGAATATGGAAAAAAAAGTTCGGCCAATATCGTACCTGCAAAAGATGGGCCGAGGCTCAAATGCCGAAGGACTCAACCTTCGGCACAGGAGGCACGCAAACAAATGCCAAAAGCAAACAGGTGGAAGATTCTGACTCAAAATATACAATCGAGCAATCAACGCAGATATTCGGAATCGAAACTTGTCACAATCTGTCTCTGATTGGAGTCAAGGTGCAGCTCTTGGATCCCAAGTAGACCTTTTGTGAACCGGCTTTTCTACAACCCCGTCTTGTAGCAATAGCACAGGAAAAAAACAGCAGGTGTTCTCCGCCATTTCCCTTTCCTAGCATGAAGGTATGATCTCCATACTCCGGAAGATACACGGTCCCGATCCAGCCAACGTGTATTTTGTCCGTCGAGCAAACGACAGTTCTGACGTTACCCTCCAGATGGTAGACGTGTAGCCCGTTTCCCCGAATAAAGCTCTCTTCGGTCGACGCGGATCTCAAACGATGGTGCTTCAAGGTATCCACAATACCTTTCAACCATTCTTGACCTTGTCCAACTCGGCTTGCTTCGCTTTAATTTCTCTCTGCATTTCCTCCAACAACTCCTGAACCCTCACATTCGCAGCATCAAGCTTCTTCAGCTCCTCCTTCTCGGTCTCCCTAGCGAATGGCTGGTCCGGGCGTTTCGTCAAAGGAATCATAGCTGTCCTTTCTCCAACACTGCTCACCATACCACCCGTCATGACCCTCGTGCCCTTCCCACCACCGCCTTTAATTTTCTCCTTGGGACTCGTCAGTATCTCATAAAATTGCTCATATGGCTCATTAAAGAGCTGCTCCTCGTATTGCCAGGACCTGACGCGACCGCTAGCTCGCATCTCCTCCTTCTCTTTCTCAGTGCCGTAGGGATGGAGGTAGAGGTGATGGTACGTAGTTTGTGGTTTTTCGAGGGACTCGGGGGGGTAGTAGAGCTTGATGGTGACTTCGAATTCTCCCCATCCTGTCTCGTGGACTTCGAAGGGCTCACCCGGCGCGGCTGCTTCGATGGCTGTAGCGCATTAGTATCACAGCTCCTCAGGGTTCCGCGAAGCAAGAACTCACTTCGTAGATGGTTTGGAATCGTCTCGTGCAGTTTGAATTGGACCTTCCTGCACCAGTAAGTGATATCCGTGTCATCGACACCCTTCACGAATACGGTCCAGGAATGCGTATGTTCCTCTGGTGTCCCAGGGGGCTTTGGGTTGTCGGGTCCGAACAAGGTTGCCACGGTGCCAATGACGAAAGGTCTGAATATTTGAACGCCCTTAACGCGCTTCTGGTTATGCGGAGGGGCCATATCGAGTTTTCTTGTGTTGTGATATTTGGTGAGAATGGTGGGGCCATTTCCATGGCTCAAAAATACGTAGTATATACGGCGTTAATAAGGTTGCTTTAGTGGCGGGGTCCAATCATGCGGAGTGGCCAATGCTTCTTGGAAAGGCTTAAGATGAGATGGGCTCTTATCGCTGTCGCCAGTGTGATACTGAGTCGTCTTGGAATTTAACACCACAAACATACAATCCAAGATGTCGACCAAAAAATTAGTTGTCTGCGGCGGTAACGGCTTCCTCGGATCGAGAATATGCAAATCGGCAGTCGCGAGAGGATGGGACGTGACATCCATCAGGTAGGAAACCTAGCTTTGATCATGTCTTAGGGGCTCTAACACTAGGGTCCAAATTATCTTCATATATAAAGCCCACAATGCTGACGATTCTTGACAGTCGCTCTGGTGAGCCAACTTGGTCCTCCGTCACCTCATCTCCAAATCCGCCAGCTTGGTCCCACAAAGTAACCTGGGAACGCGCCGACATTCTCAAGCCCAAGACCTACGCTCCACTCCTCAAAGACGCAGACTACGTCGTCCATAGCATGGGCATCCTCCTCGAAGCCGACTATAAGGGTGTCGTATCCGGCAAGGAATCCCCGATATCCGGCCTCAAGCGAGCTTTCTCTGCTACGAAGGGCGGATCCCAGAACCCGTTGACGAGGAAGGACGACGAGGATCTCTTACCGCAGGAGACAGATGGCCAATTGACTTACGAGATCATGAATAGAGACTCGGCTATTGCGTTGGCACAAGTAGCGAATAAGGAGAACGTCCCGGCATTTGTGTATATTAGCGCTGCTGGTGGAGCGCCTGTCTTACCAGCGAGATATATCCAGACGAAGAGGCAGGCAGAGAGCACGATTAGCAGCGAGTTCCCGAAGATGAGGAGCATTTTTATCAGACCTGGGTTCTTGTACGATAGTTCGAGATCCTTCACGGTGCCCCTGGCGGCGATGACTGGCTTGGGAGCGGCTTTCAACAGTCTCACTGGAGGAATATTTGGGGGAATTATGGGTGCTGCAGGGGTGAAGCCTTTGAAGGCGGATCTGGTGGCGGATGCGGTTGTAGAGGCTTTAGGTGATGATACCACGAAAGGACCCGTCGATTTGAAGGAGATCGAGGACCTGGCACAAAAGGCATGGAGGAAAGGAATGCTCTGAGCATATAGTTACGGACTTTGCTTGAGCATTGCATTGTCTTGTATTATTATTTGTGTACATCCTAGCTTAGCTTCATGAGGAAAGTCTCCGCCCAACCGGCAAGAAAAGTCATATCATCGTTCCACGCTCAAAACTGTCCCGTATTTCTGCTGTGTACTGGAAGGAGTTAGCATCGAATTGTGATCGGAGGAAAAAATTAGGCATACCTTGTTGTAAAATCTGTTCAGCTTCTGATTGAACTGCTTGTTCTTCTCATTGATGTACGTGACATCACCATCATCCCCATTCGCACCCATCTTGTCTCTCCGCTTCTTCAATCTCGCCTCCTCTGCCTGCTGCAGGTCCTTAACCAGCCGGTCCACTGCATCTTTGGGAGGCTTGTGTTCGACGAATCCAGTAGAGTCAGCCGTAGAGTAGAATGTGCCGTCCTTGTCTACAGCGACTAACTCTCCATCTTCCGTCTCCACAATCTCAAGCCCTCCACTCGCAGCAGCCTTCTCTACTGCCGCCATCTTCTGCTTCTCGTAATGCTCCATATCTGGCTTCAAATCTCGAATCTGTCGCTTGTAAACCTTCCGACTGTCTTGCCTGTAATCTTGGAATGCCTGATCATCCCTATGTGCATCTTTTTTCTTAATCCGCTTGTCCCATCTCTCGCTCTCCTCGATCGTCCAATCCCACGCTCTCTTTCTCTCAAAGTCGCCCCCAGAAATCTCGGTGTCCGCTTTCAGTAAGTTATGTGATGCGATCGCAGACTTTCGGTTCAGAGATGTAAGGAGATTTGGATCTGTCGCCAGACGTTGCGATTCCAGGGTTGCCTCCTTCAAGTTCTTCTGGGCGCCGGTTTTGGCGCGTGCTTGCAATGCCTTAAATTTTTCCATACGCTCTTTCGCTTTAGATGCGGCATCTGATGTCTCCGGGGGCCCAGATTGTGCTTCTTCCTGCATTCCTATCTCAGGTGCTGCCTGTTCTGCTGCGATAGGCGATTCGCTTTTCGGGGCGGTCGTAGGATTTGCATCTGCATTCTCTTTCTCTGCAGTCGCTCTAGTCTTGCGCTTCTTTACGGGAGGCATTTTGCTTTCTGGTGTTCTCGTATGGTTGTGGTTGGTAAGGGCTCTTGCATGAAAGTTAGTAAATAGATGCCCAGCCGGAGAGAGTGCTCCGTATTTATAGAGGTTGCGCTTGCGGCGCTTAATTGGCGCTCCCGCGTTTAAAATATAAATACCTGAGGGAGCAGTCAATTGCATGGCAACACCACAGGACAGCAGGGACAGTGTTCCCTTGGAGATAGCAGAGAGAATATGAAAAATTACAGCAAAATCATCCAGATCTGTCCACGAATCTCGCATATTCAACCTCGACTCAGCACACCACGATCATATGCATCCTCTCCACCGCGCAACTTCCAACCTGATGTCCTCCCGCGCCTTGTCATAGACCTTGATGCCGTCAATAGTAAACATGTCCGGAAGGCAGAGGATCCCCCGGTAGAGGATCAGCTTCCATGGCCACACTTGGCCAGAAATTTTGGAAGGGCCCCACGTAGTAGCAAAATAGCAATCCAACATCTCAGAGTCAATTCTGCAGACTTATGGGCGTATGCGCTTCTCGGACTCCAACACTCCCCGACACACGAAGGTACCCGACTTAAGCTTATTGCTCAAAGCAAAAGATTTGACCAGATGGACAGCATAGAGACGATCATGGCTATCCTGATCCATGGATTCTCGACAGATGCGACCAAGAGTCTCCAAGCGGCTGGATTTCGTTCCGAATCACACGACAGGATATCGAAGTCTTTAAGACTGGCCCGGCGCTGGTGTGAGCTTCGATCAATAATCTCGATGCTTTCTACTACAACCGAGGGCTGTCAGTTTCTTGCCACCCATGGCCTAGACGTTTCTGACGGTATCCGGAGTTGTCGAAAAGCTCAGGCTGCGCCAGCAAGATACCGATTCAAGCAAGTCACCCCAAAAATGATACTGCATCTCCTCAACAACTTCCGCATCAGTGCCGAGTCGAAAAGCGTAGGAATCGGTGCTCCATTGTGCAACACTGGGTTGTACTATGCGGCGAAGAAAGCCAACCTTCCGGCTATTCGGATGTATCTGCAAACAGCACGCGACCACAAATACGCACCAGACTCGATGGCTCGAAGTGGTCTCAATTTTCTTTTCAAAGCTTTGTATCGTGACCGTCCGCAGTTGCAGGGTGGGACTCAGGAGAAGGAGGTACTTGAGCTCATTACAGGTTGGAAAGGCGGCATCGAACCACGAGCGGGAGAGCCCAGGAAGACATGTTTCGCATACTTGGCGTTTGGGAATGTGCCATCAGATTTTCCAGAATCTATTTACCCAGTGTACATCATGGGACTTGGTGAGCTGGGTCTGTCAGAAGCACTGTATGCTGAGTGGATGTCCCCCGACCCAAATAGGATGGACACCATGCTTCGCGGAGATGGGCACCTGAGGTTTCGCTCACATATGTTCGCCATTGCGTTCATCTTGGCGGACGATACTCAGCGCGCACTGGAGGTTCTCGAGTCCGTCCCAGTTCACCACCAGGACGCCTCACCCCCAGATCTCCACACACTCGAATGGTTGCCGAAGTGGATGCCAACCTCACGTAAAAACGATATACCTACACCGAATCACGGCTTGATTTGGATACGCGAGATGATCCTCGACCGCTATTGTTTTCACTGTGCTCCGCCTAGCGAGCAAGTGCGTATTGGGCTGACGAGTTTCCTATCGAATATGCCTCACAAGCCTCAACAGGCATTGGAGGCTCTACAGAAAACCCTTCCTAAAGAGATCAAAGCGCATAAGAACAGGGCAAAACTACCGATCCTTGGTTGGTCTACCCAAGAGGAGAGAGTCACGATTGTAGGTTACAAGGATAAGTATGTAACATCTCTGATTCGCTGATGCTTGAACGAGATCTGGCGGACATCATCAAGTACTCTGTCTTGTGTAATATTGTACAGTAACATGTAGAATAGATACCCCAAATCGCTCATACCAACGTGATGTTGAACTTAGGTAGCGATAAAATTCGGAGCACAGTTCCTTCCTAGCTTCTCATGGACACAATTGTAGTTCCCATCACCATCGTATTTCGATTTTGGGGTACTTTATGAAGCTCATCGGGGCCTGCTCCAAGTATTTCACTAGGACTGTCACCATGCGGATTAGAAGGCAACATTTCAAATTTTCATAATCGCGATTGCCCATGGATTACTGAGAGGGTGATGGGTTTCCTTATGGTTGTGATTTTGCGGACACTCTTAATGGTAGGTAGTCTATATTCGACAGCGATAACGATGGTGCCCAGCACAATCAGTTCTCCCGAGCGGCAGATACGATTCATGGCTTCTCTTTGCCGCACAATTCGGGTGGAGGAGAAGGGCTGGCGTTTACCATTAATTTGATCTAATTGTGACGCAGCCCGCAATTCCACCTTTCCAACTGATTTTCACTGACTTCGCGTTACAATTAAAGAGAAGGGAGGTGAGGTGAGGTATAAGAGCTGCTGCTTTCTGTGGCCGGGTTCTGATTGGTTAGTTGATATGATAATATAATAAGATTTCTTTTGATTTTGGGATTTCGACGCACGTATGTACATCTACAAGTTCTCACTCTGTACCATTATGTGAATTCCGTGAGAAGGAAAAAAAAGAAAAAAAAAACCCCCCTGAAATACGGTCATGATAGCAGGGATTGAAGCACTTGTCGGATATGACTAGGAACTGGAGCCTCATGAAAATCGGCTTCAGTCACGTGTCGTTTGACCTAGTTCCAGAAGCTCGGCCGCTCCTACATTTTTTATTTATTTCTGCCATCGGAAATCCAAACAGCTTCATCTCAAAGCCCACAAGACCTAACAACCCGCAACGATGAAGCGCAAACTGGACGCCAATGACGTGCCTAATCCTGCAACTGAAATCGAGGGCAAGAAGGAGGACGCAACATTTGCAGCGTTAGGACTCGACTCGCGATTACTCCAAGGAATCGCGAAGCAGAACTTTCAGACCCCCACACTGGTGCAGAGCAAAGCAATTCCTCTGGCACTGGAGGGCCGAGATATACTGGCGAGGGCGAAGACTGGAACCGGAAAGACAGCGGCGTACCTGCTGCCAATCCTCCACGCCATACTAAAGAGAAAATTGGCAAGTTGCTAGGCTCGAGGACGAGAAGGACTCAGCTAATGCTTGCAGACCTCCTCTACCCAAAGCACATCCGCCCTGATACTTGTGCCGACTCGCGAACTTGCCGATCAAGTGATAAAGGTTGTCGAGTCGTTCTCCGCCTTCTGCACGAAAGAGATCCGCGCGGTCAACCTCGCCCAAAAGGTTTCTGATGCCGTCCTACGGTCCCTCCTCGCCGACTCCCCCGATATTGTCATTGCGACGCCTGCTCGAGCCTCGATGAACTTGAACACTGCAGCTTTCTCTCTTGAAAACCTGGCGCATTTAGTTATTGATGAGGCGGATCTGGTTCTGTCGTACGGTTACGACGAGGATTTGCAGAATGTGGCCAAGATTATGCCGAAGGGCGTGCAAACAATACTAATGAGTGCGACTTTAACCAGCGAAGTCGAAACATTGAAAGGGCTGTTCTGCCGGAACCCAGTGGTTTTGAAATTGGAGGAAGCAGAGGTAGAAGGAGAGGGAGTCAGCCAGTTTGTTGTGAAGTAAGTTACTTAGATCATTCAAAAGCTAATGTTGCTAACAGCTCTCCAGATGCGCAGAAGACGAGAAGTTTCTGCTGGCATATGTCATTTTCAAGCTGAAGCTGATCAAAGGCAAATGTATTATATTTGTTGGAGATATCGACAGGTGCTACAGACTGAAGCTCTTTCTCGAGCAATTTGGAACGAGAAGCTGTATTCTGAACTCGGAATTGCCAGTCAACTCGAGAATCCATGTGGTAGAGGAGTTCAACAAGAACGTTTACGACATCATCATTGCTTCTGACGAGCACGAGGTACTAGGGGATGAGGATGAGCCGAAGGAGGATAATGGAACGAATGAGGCAGTGGCTGAGGATGGTACGGCAGCAGTGAAAAAAGACAAGAACGCTGAGCCAGCAGCACAACCTTCGAAAAAGAAACGCAGAACGGTGAAGAAGGATAAGGAGTATGGAGTTTCGAGAGGTATCGACTTCAAGAATGTCGCGTGCGTTCTTAACTTCGACCTTCCCACGTCCTCCAAATCCTACACCCATCGAATCGGCCGAACCGCCAGAGCTGGCCAGACTGGAATGGCCCTGTCATTCGTGATCCCCAAGGAGCTGTATCGAAAGCACAAACCAACAAGTATTCAATCGGCTAAAGACGACGAGAAGATACTGGCGAAGATTGTGAAGCACCAGGCGAAGAAGGGCAAGGAAGTAAAGCCGTACAATTTCGACATGAAGCAAGTGGACGCATTCAGATACCGTATGGGTGATGCGCTGCGGGCTGTGACTGGTATCGCCATCCGTGAAGCCAGAACCCGAGAGTTGAGGCAGGAGTTGATCAAGAGCGAGAAGCTGAAGCGCCATTTTGAGGAGAACCCCGAGGATCTGCATCATTTGCGACACGATGGTGAGCTACGAGCTGCACGAGTTCAGTCACATATGAAGCATGTTCCAGAGTATTTACTGCCAAAGGAGGGTAGGAAGGCACTGACTTCAGGTGAAATTGGTTTTGTTGGGATTAGGAAGACGACTGATAATCGAATCAGGAAAGCTAGGGCGGTGAACAGGGGTAAGGGAAAAGGAAAGAAGGTCATTGGGCGCAAGATGGACCCTTTGAAGACGTTCAAGGGGAGCTTGCGGAAATAAACATGCAGAGTCAATGAAAAGAATGGATTATGTACCATTGGATTCGATGCCGATTCGCGGTAGGCGGGCAGAGGCCGTTTAACTGTCTCGAGTGACATTCGTATCCAGTTTAGTGCCAGGCCATTCAGATACAAAACCCATTACTCTGGCAAGTAGTCCCACCACTGAAATCTTTTATAAAGCATTTGGGCTGACTCGAAGATATCACAAGGTAGTCGAATTAGTTCCCGTACATATGTATAAAACCTCAATCACTTGAGTCTCTAACAGGAAAATCCCAAGTATAGCCCGCTGTAATTTCACTACTCACTAATGTTGAGATATCACGTTAGTTTGAAAGTACATGATTTGAATCAACATTGAACCTGAATAGAAGATCGTTATTTGCTTGTTCACAGTCCTTATCTCATTTTGCTCGCGCTCGAACCTGATTTGTCTATGCTTTGCAATTGAATGATGTTGATACATGCTCACAGGATCGGTACTCAGCCATTGTCAACATTGCAATTGGAATTATCAGTTCAGTCAAGCTTGAGCCAGCTGTTCTCCGAATGCGAACTCTTGTACCGAATACCAGGCCAAAGTTCGAGCTCAAAAAGCAATGAAGGCATGCTGTCGTATAATTAGGGTGCCGACATCTGCTGCTGCGGTGATCATCTCGGTGCGATTTTTGGAAACTAGAAGGTGGGCTTTTTACCTGTCGTCTCTGAATTCATGGAAGTCGATACGCTCGATAATCCTACTTAATCTGAATTACCTCTGGAGCAACACGATCTCATAATTTGGACGATGCTCTCTGGTTCACCCACTAGAGTCTGACCCATTCAATGGATTTGGTCGAAACACGATCCAAAAGTCGGTGGTAGCAGAAGAGTGACAGATAGGCCTGCAGAGCAGATAGCTTAGTGCAACTTTCCTGGAGAGGATTTCACCTTGTCTAGGATTCCTGAAATCAAAAGTGCGAATAACCCAGTAGCGCTTAAAGGCGAGATATCGGTTTAAGTACTGCAGGGAATCAGCTTTGTAAGTTGAGCCTCTTCGTGTGTGGAATATTGCCAGCTGTTCAGCCCTGGCCGAATTGAATGTTTTGCTCTAAAATTCTCGTCTCGACTAGTGAAAGTCACTCCGGAGTAGTCAATAGCAACCACGTCGGACCTTGACTTCTCGACCTCACCCTTCTCTCAACCAATCCGACCAACCAACCCGACCAACCTTCTCGACCTTACCTTCTCACACCATACCTTCTCGAAACGCAATACTCCTAACACCGCTACCAATGAATCGTCTGCTGTCTTTCCGGACGATGGTGCAAATCATTCCTCGACGGCTTTTCATTTTCTTTGCCGTACGCTTCTGCTTTTCATTGTCTACACCTTACAGGCGCCTGGCCTACACAATTGTCCTTCACACCGGTATATCTCGGTGATCTTTATTCTCTTTCGGGTTCTTGCAACGCGACGAGTTGGCTTCAGATCTCCCGTGTACTGTGTTTACAGCTGTGGCCCTCCTTTGAGCCCCCGCCAACCTACCCAACACAAAAACATCAAACACCCACTCACAATCTTGCTCAAAGGCTGTAGCGACGCGTCGTCGCACTGGTGACTGCGCTTCCTCTGGTATCACTGCTCCGACCACCGCTATCGAATCCTATCCTGTCCTCGGCTAGCAAAGATGGATCAGCAAGCTGCTCCTATAGAAGATGGGCAACACCTGGAGAACTGCCAACTTCCTTCGGTTCAGGACGGGCATGATGCTTATAATCCAGACAGAATTGAGCCACGTGCCTGGTCTCAAGCACATTCACCAGCCAAGGATTTGAGGCCTGTTCTCGAGGCTAACGGGAAACAGGCCCATTTTCGATACCGAGAATCTCATACAGCTGCAAGAAACTCATCACCACCCTCTCTTCGAGCTTTAGCTTCCGAAGACCGCAATTACTATAGAATGAACGACCAATACGAAGTCAAAGACCCCGCACACTTCGGTCTTCGAGGACCGAAGAGACACGCAAGCCCGACCACACAGGAAGGTTCCTCGAAGAGACAGCAAATGACATACGATCGTGCTCATGGCGTCATGGACCCTACCGATACCCTCAGCGATGTTTCTGACGAAATTGACGTCTACGATGAGCTGAATGAAGAACCTGAGGGCCATCAGTATGACACAAACACTGCACGAGCGCGACCGAACTGGCGCGTGCCACCAGACGTGCCAGCACAAGTTCAACACATAGAGCAGCTCCATCCATACCATGATTCTCAACAGCTCGACATAAACTTGATTAATAGCCGCCGTCAGCCTGAACCTCCCTATATGCCATTCCAACAACCTTCCCCGTCTCGGCAGCCTGCTCTTCCGTCTTATGAACAGCTATGTTCGCGTCAAAATACCCCTTCTCAACAACATCTACCCTCCTTCTACCAGCAACAAGATCGGCGCCCAAACACTCCTCCTCGACAAGCTCCAGGTCAGTTGTACCAACAAATAGCCTCGAGTCAAAACAATCCGTCTCGACAAAATAGAACACCACAGCAACTGTCAGCTCAAAGACCTACTTCCCCGCAAGCACAGCACTATCAAATTGGCCAAAAATCCGCACAGCAAATCCGAAGCCAGAGTCGACCCCGCAGAACTCTGGCGAGAGCTCCCTCCGTCCAAGCTCCTCAAGCCCGCAACTCATCTCATATCGACATGGAAGAAGAACGGGTGAATGATATGTCACTGGAGCGCGGTATGGAGCCAGAACACACTACTCCTCGATCTTTACATCAAGCTGGTGGCCCTCGTGTGATAGATGGAATCCGTCATCCAGAGGAAATCATTGGTCGAGCAAGAGGTACACATCGAGGCCATTCAGCAAGAAGCCATCCTTTTGGCTCACCACTTTATGCTCATAGTGGACTCGACCCACCTCGAAGTCGATTGGATGAAAGCTCACCCACAAAAGGTCAGTTTGATGACAATAGCTTGGAAGACATGGGGAGTCAAGATGCGTCTGAGGAGGTTGAGCAAGTTCGCCTATTGTTTGAACCCTCATTCCGAGTCCCTCGAATGTCTGTCAGCCGTCACATGGGTCCCGAGCCACAGAGCTCTTTCTCAAGAGCCCAAAGTGAGCAGCTATTGGACTATGTAGTCAACCCGACGACCTTCTCTACACCTCAGTACCACAGTCAATTCTCTGGAATCTCCAAAAACAAGCGCCAACTGTTAAGTGAAATTGGGGACAGTAGGGGATATGTTGCCAATCCATCTTCGCAAGGCGGAACTGCTGGCCCAAGTGCTGCACCTCAACTCCCAAGCGTATTCAGACCTATTCAACAATATGAAGAATGCCCGGCGGTCCAAATGCCGTCCACTCCTCCTCGCAGTCGCAGAGAAATACCTGTCGACACTCCCTCAATGCAGCGAGATCAGAGCCAAAGCCGCATGTCAAGTGCTCGTCAAAGTGCTCGAATCATCAACCAGGGATTTCAGAACCAATCTGCGCATTTCAGAAGCAATCATGTGGACGGAGCCGATGAGGAGATGCAAGAAAATAGGGTGCCTTGGACTGGGAGATCTATAGAGCCCGCTCGAGAGTTACATGCCCCAGAGACTCCCGTCAGAGTGAGCCCTCAAGGAAGTCCTCAAAGAGGTGGAAACTTCTATGATGGCGGTCCTGTCACAGACAGTCTAATAAATGCCTATTTATTCCCTCTAAAGAGGTCAGCTCAGTCAAAACATCAAGATCCCAACGCTGGCATCGATATGGCCACCAACGTCTTACCAAAGGGAAGCTTGTTCGGTAAGAAATCCAGCTTCAAAGTACAGGCACCAAAAGCGGAGACGATCAAGCCAGAAACACCAGAGTCATCGGTACGCCTCACTTCTGGGAGAGGCCTAGAGGTCTATATTGATCTTTGCACGCCCCCGTCAACCGCACGTCCAGTGCCAATGAAAGATCGCCTCACGCCAGCCGCTGCCGCCAAGAAGCCAGCTCCTGCTCGACCAATCCGTACAAAGAAACCCGCCGCCTCAGCGGCCCCTGTGCCTGTCAAGAAAGTCCCCAAGATCAAAGAGCCAGTCGTTGATCCTGAGTCCTTGCGTCAACAGCGCGCTGCTGAGATTATTGTGGAGAAGGAACTCAAGGGAAGACTCGGAGAACCTCAGTACGATCAAGTTGCTGAAGACAAGAAAGTCGCAGAAGCACGTGCAGCTAGCCAACGTGAGCGCGAGGAGAAGCTGGCTGCACTTTTGAGGAAGGAAGAAGCTGCGAAGGTTGCGGAAGAAGAGAAGCAAAAGAGGCTCCAAGAAGAAGCCGCAAAGCGCAAAATTGAGAAGGAGCAAGAAGAAGAGCGCAAGAAGATCAAGCGCGATGCTGAACGTCGGAAGCAACAAGTGCTCGAGCAGCAAGAAAAGGAAATTCTGCGCAAGAAAGCCGAAGAGCGGATCCGCGCCACCAGAATAAAGGAGGCCGAGGAACAACGGCAAAAGGAAGTAGTGAAGCAAAGGGCGAAGCACGCTGAAGCCCAAGAACTTGCAAAAGTCAAGGCAAGGCAAGAGCAGGCGAGGAAGCAAGCTGCAACATTGAGTGCTTCTAAGCTGCCACCAGTCCCAGAGGCTCAGCCCGCTGATAATTCCAATGGAGATGATATCGAGAGGGACTTCGAGTCCTTGTTTGTTGAAGAAGTGGCAGACCCTCCAGCAGCTGCTCCAGAAGTAAAACTTCCTTCAACCAAGTAAGTGGTGATCTTTATCTGTGGAGAGAAACTGAATATTGATATATCCATCTAGCAAGCAAGAAGTTTACGGATCAAAGACAGCCTTCCTCGAAAATGCCGCGAAGGTTTTTGCACAATCCGCTTCTACGAGCACCTACAGAGCCAACAGAGATGCTGAGGATGCCAAGCTAGCTGCTGAGCGAGCAAAGGCAGCACGCGAGAAGCTGGATGCCCGATGGAAAGCCAAGACTCAAGCATCAAAGCCCGATCCGCCACGTCCAGCTGTCACAGAGAAACCCAAGCCACCCCCTCGACCAGAGCCAGCCACAGAGGAATCACGACCACCACCACCACCAACAAAGGCTCCTCCAGCTCCCAAGAAAGATCGACCACCTCCAAAGCCCAAGGTAAAGCCCGAGCCAAAACCAACATCGAGATCGAGAGCCGAGGTCAACAGCAACTTCGATTCAGAAAGCTCATCATCGTCCGGACCCGGACCAACAGGCCGCTCTCTCGATGATTTCGCCCCCAAGCCCTCATTGAGCGGTCTTCCTGGCTCCTTGAAATCCTCGGGTGGAAGTAAGACTAAGCCCAAGAGTCCCCAGGGTCCTAAGCCTAAGGAGTATGCGCACAAGGTCAAGTTGATCTCTGAGCTTGAACGCGAGGAACTAGAAAAAGCGGAGAATGAGAAGAGATCTTTGAAGCGCAAGACTACGGATAAGCGCAATAGAGAGCACCAACAGGCCGAAGAGCGTAGGAAGAGAGATGAGAAAGCTAGGGAAAAGAAGGTGCAGGAGCTGACAGACACTGCCGAGAAGAATGGCGCGAAACTCACCGAGAAGGAGTTGAACAAGCAGGTTGATAAATTCATGGAGAAGCGCGAGGTATGTTGTTTTGTCGTAGCGTGTTACTATTATTACAGACTGCTGACTGGACTTACAGAAGCAGCTTGAGAAGCGGCGTATAAATCACAGAATGAAAGAGAACGGTGGCGATCACACAGCTCTCGCACCACAGTCGCAGCAAGATGCCGAGTCCGATGATGAAAGCCTCAGTCCCGATACGAAGCTGCGGAGGCATATTCAGCGAGAATTCAAGATTGCTCAATCTGCTCTGGGGGTGACTCAACAGGCTATGCCTTTCGATCGATCCAAGGGCACCATCGCTGAGTACAGTGACCCCTCGGACGAGGATGAAGAAGAAGAATCCTTTACAAACTCATACGAACCACCACGAGCAGCAGCAGTAGAATCGGACGAATCCGAGGAAGATCCCGATAATGAGCCCGAAGCTTTCGTGGCCAAGCCACCTTCTAAGGAATCCCAGGATACCGAGTCTGAAGAGGACAGTGACGATGCTGATACCGAATTGAGCTCTCCTCCGCCGCAAATGGGCACCTACTCCAAAGCCATAGACGAAGATCAACGCCGAGAATTCAATGGTCATCTCAGCAGCATGATCAACATCCCCAACCCGTCCCGCAGCCGCCTCGTCTACCTCTACCAAGTCATGAAGCATGAGACTACACGCTCTGACGATGACAAAGATGACCAGATCGAGGTGCAAATGGTCGAGCAGTTCTTGTCTCAAAAAGATGCCAATCAATGTGCCAGAGACCTCGCTACCAAATACCGGAATCCCGACCCGGCTGTATCTATGGCCGCCCCGCATAAGAGCATCACGGAACGGTTCACAGAGAAGGGCCTATTCAAGGCCATATTCGTGCACGACGACCTGCACCAGACACTCATCTTCATCAAGACCATCACCAAGCTCTCCTCCGAGTTCCCACCCGAAGCACTGGCCCACATGCCGACGCGACTGCCGCCCCAAGCGTGGTCCGTGATGCTGTACAAGACGACGCGCACGACGAACTCGGCGACGGGCGAGGTGGAGGTCCAGAAATCCTCGTCGCAGCAGCTGAGCTGCTTCTCCATCCTGCAGATGGCGAACTTTGAGGCCTGCAAGCAGCTGATCGAGATGGTGAAGCCGGCAAGCGCGGACGACGTCGAGCTGATGCGCGACCACGACCAGAACGCGGCCCAGATGCGGGAGAGCAGAGAGGACTTTGATCGGGCTGAGCTGCCGTTTGAGCTCGAGTTGGAGATCTCGGGTGGGGATGCTGTCAGGCTGGGGGCGACGGAGATTGAAGTCAAGGTTGAGCCCTTTGAGATTCAAGGTCCATTGAATTGAGGAGGCAGAACCCGGGAGGCGCGAGATGGAGTAGACCGGAGAGGGAGAGGGGGAGGAGGGAGGATCGCAGAGGGTTCCTGGCTTGTATAACACTGTTCGTGATAGGATATTCCCAAAGTCAAGCAGCCGATGGTTTTCACGTGGATAAGCGTTGTCCCCCCCCCCCAAAATCAAAACGTCCATATCAAAAACCTAGAACTACTTGAAACCCAGGTGAGTCGATATGAAGCTGCAAACCCAACATAGAGAAATGGGTATGTGTCAATGGCGAGTTTATATGAGCGCGTCGTTTCAACTGTCATTTCTTATTTTGATCATCATCTCGAATCCAGACTATCGCTTCGGTGTTTACAGCTGAGCTGAGCTGAGGAGCTCGTTGTTTTCAAACGACACCACTTCCTCCATCCCCTTTCATTTTCGAATGTGTATGTCTGGTACGCTCAAATATTTGACCTGGTAGTCCGACGATAGCGCCCTGGTAGTACAAGAGGTGATATCCGCACTTGCAAAGCACTCCCTGGCATCATTTGTGTAGCGGTCCAGACGTGGCCATTGGCTGCTAGGAGACTACGGCCAACCATGCAGGTTATAGATATTTTGATCGAGAGAGCTTTGCTTGCTTGGAAGCGTGCCCGCGGATCTATTATTATCATTATTTTTATTATTGTTGTTACGGAGTACTCATTCAAGCCAGGGCGACGACCAGGAAGAGTTGTCTGCCCGTCTAGGCAGAAACACTCACCGATAGGTACTCTCCAGTACCGCGCGCGTTTGGTAGTATAGCGGGGATTTTTTCTTCTAGTGGTGTCGAGGTGTCTTTGAAGATTAGGGCGTTTGGGTATAAGTGGGAAGGAAAGCTGTACGTACTCTGTGGTATTTGTTTATTGCTGGCGAGGGAGTTGGAGGCCGGGACGGATATCAGAGGCACTTGGGGGGTTTCTTACATAATGAATATATTATTTTATGCTCAGGTTTTGATCATGATGGTATAAATAGCACGAGATTTTATCCAGTCTACCGAGGCTTCTCACTTCAATAAGAAGGAGCTCTATAGTAAGGAAGATGAGTCACATACAGAGCGGAGTCTCCAGAGAAGATGCGCGAGCGGGAGAAGGTCATGGTGCGCTAATAGCCAAGTCACTACTTACTTCCTTGTCATAACACTTGCGGCTGCTAATCGAAGATTGAAATCTAATTCTTTCTCCCAGGTTCTCTCAAAACCAAGGCGAATCCAAGACTCCAAGCATTCGCCAACAACAACAAGAAGAAAACTCAATGACAGCAAAGGAGAACATAACTGCAACTACCGTTGGCGGACTGAACAACGGAAAAGTTCAAAGGTATATCGTTCATACTGACAGGCTCTTGGATTCGCCAGGAAAAGAGGTCCGTTTAGTGCCTGTGGGAAGCCAAAGAAGTCTCCAGACTTATCAAATCTTTCGCCGTGATTTCCAACGAGTAGGCAATAACCGATGTGATTCGAATGGTGTTTGTGGATGCGGGTGGAGTATGCGAATTTATATATATATATATATATATTCTTGCTCTCAAATCTGGGAAGGGTGGGGGTGACAGCGATCCGAAATAAGAAGGGACGATATCTCGATCCGGATGGACTTACCTCCGTAGATTGACAACTCGTCGTTCAGCTCACCTCAGCTCAGCTCGAATCTCTTCTCGCTAACTCCACGAAGCCCTCAGAGGAGCAAGGCAAGTGAATGTAATCAATATATTACACAACATCATAAACAAGTGGATCGCGAAGGTCCTATTCCGGGCGTTCTTCAGCACTGGTGCAGAGGAAACTGTCGTGGCCATAGGTAGGCAGAACGCAGGTCTAGGAGTACGGACCAGTAGTGGAGGAGGCTAGGCAGGTACAATACTTTGCAACGCAGAGAGCTTTCTTGACAATCAACTACCACCTTGCAGCTTCAACCTTTCACTATTATCTGAGACCGATAATGACAATGACAATGACAACGACAACGACAACGACAACGATAATAAAGCACAAAGCAAAAAGAAGAGGATACAAATGACAGCAAAGGAAAGCCCATCTGACGGTTCCTAAGCAGCGATAGCAATTACCGTATCCGACTAACCGTCCTCACTTACTTGATCCTGGACCAGGGATCTTTACAAACGAGCACCACACTCAGATTCCAGCAACTCTACCGGGGTCGGTTCACAGAGAGTACACGTGTATGTACTATCATCGGGGTTTCGTATGGTTCATACTCAGACTTGTTCCTGCCGATAAGTTTGTAATGCCGATCGATAAGCAACTCCAGCGGTGTTCTATCTTTTCCCGCAGTAGAATATGCACATCCCTATATTATATAGATAAAGACTTGCCCTATGTTGGGACTTCACCAACTAAGCCAAACTCGTTCAGCTCTATTGATTCACCTGATCGTCGGTTACCTTGAATTTGATTTGTAAAACATCCCGACGCTGCGCCCCGACGATTACGCTCTTATAGTGATGCAGTAAAAAAAAAAAATCAAACTCGTGCAACATTTCCGAGAAGATGCAGCTCGAGATAAGCGGCTCGAAAATAAACTGAGCTCGGCGTTTTCCGTATACGAATCACGTATTATACCGCGAGGAGCAAGGCCACTTGAATACAACGAAGATGTAGTAATACAAGATCATAAATCAGTAGATCGCGACCCATATCCACGAGGTCATATTCCGAGCCTTCTCCAATAGCAAAACCCAAAGGAGACCGACAACGACAACCACAGCGGCAGTGGAACGTCCCCAACGACTGGTGCTCGCTCTGGGTAATAAATTTCCGCCCACTGAGGAGTGCCAGTCCTCGAAGGTTTCGTGACGGAAAGCTCGTAGGACTCAAGCTACTATGCTCTTGTGCCAGCACGACCAGATCGTTTCTACCTCGTCCCAACCACTCCTTGTCTTCCCGAGTCGTCGTCTTCGTGAGTGCGGAGCACAAATCTGCCGTATGCTCTCGCTACGTCCCGAAAACTTCTCAGTGAGGCTTCGTTACCCGCCCCCTCCCCCTCCTCCTCCCACCCCTCTTCGGAAATTCCAATTCAACTTTCAAACTGTCAAACTGTCAAACTTTCAAACTTCCAAACTTCCAAACTTCCAAACTTCCAAACTTCCAAACTTCCAAACTTCCAAACTTCCAAACTTCCAAACTTCCAAACCTCCCAACTTCCAAACTTTCACCCTCAACCAGCCAGCAAGGAAGGACAAGAAAGAAGAGGAGCAAGCCAAGCAGCGAACAGAACAATAGAGCAAGCAAGTAGAGAAACCTTTTGCTTCCCTTTTCGCTTCCAGGCGGCGGCAAAGCAACGTATCCCAACAACCTACCTGCCTACGGTATGGGAGTAGGGAGTGGAATCTCACCACGTGTACGAGGGGATCGATGATAAACTCACTTAAGCGAGACCCTTGGGGCGGAATAGAGAAAGCGGGAAAAGTGAGACGCGCGGAGTACATACATGTTCGAGAGAGGATTGCAAAAACGGTGGAGAGATCTTCGAGGCTAGAAAGGTCCGGCTCATCTGATGGTCGTTTGTAACACGCAGGCCTCGTCCGTCAAGGGTGGAATCATTTCATACTCATGTGACACATACATACAATGCTATCTCTCGCCTCATCTACATCTCTTCGGTCTCACTTCAATGTGATTTATCCATCTATCCTATCTCCTCACAGTGGCATACTCTCTACCCTCAATCGAGAGGCGCAGCGAGATTGAACCTCGACATCGCCGCACCCGTGTAAATGCAGGCCCCAGATATCCAACGCCCCGCCAATGGAATGCAATGCATGCACGCGCCGTCATTTTCAAAAACTAGACACAGCGCATGCCTAGGCTAGTATATACCCTGTGTGCGGTACTGAAAAGTATCATATCTGTGGTTGTTAGCCTCACCCCCTTTTTTTACGGTTTTAGATTACCAGGAGAAGAGTGGAGCGTACAGTCGTGTATAATAACTCCCCAAAGACTTCCCGATCAAGTCCGTCTCGACGAACTGCTCAGCCTCGTCAGCGCTAAGCTGCAGCTGGAATCGCTGTCTCAGACTGTTGGTCGCTTGCAAGACGCCGTACGAGAAACAAGGCATTTTGGATGCACGGCCCATCATGTTGACAAGTTCGATGATGTTGTCTGCTGAACGGCGAAGAGCTAGTCACACATCAGCACAGTTTTAAAAAGAAATCGGGAAGGAGGAAAGGAGCGGAGATAGGTACCTTGGAAAGCCCGCTTGCACAATTTCTTGTAGTCATCGAAAGCCGGCGATCCAACACCACCTAGCACATCAACATAATCCTGCGTCAACTTGAAGGGTGCAGCTTCCAAGCCTACTGATCCGGGGGAGTTGGAGAGCATAAATCCAAAATCGATGTGGATAATGTGGCCTTCGTTATCGACAAGGACGTTCCCGTTGTGGCGGTCTTTGAGTTGGAGAATATAGGAGATGATGCTGTAGGCTGCCAGGGAACGCTTGAAGCAGCTTTGTGCGGTTTGGTAGGCTTCAGATTCGGGGGGTCCAAATGTCTTGACAAAGTGGTCCTTCAGCGTTGCGATCCTCCTTCGGGGATTCTGTCCAGATTCGATTGTGGCTAGGGTGAGGCTTCGTTTTAATGAATGTAACGAGACGCCATTTGTGATGGTCTCAATCAAGCCGGATGATTCTCCAGTCACCAGTATCCTCATCCGCTTGACCCAAACGGGCGTCTGCGCATCCTGCCAGATCTTATCGCACACTTGAATCAGTTGGCAAGCAAAGGCCTCTTGTCTCAGATCATCGCCAGTCTTGACAATGACACTCAGTACATCCCAATTCTTCATCCACCCATACGGCGAAGATTTCCGTATCCGCTCTTTCTTCACGTTCCACGCTTCTCCAAACGTGGCAGCGCTGGGATCGTCTCTATCACCTTTTCTCTGAACACCACCAGTCTTCTGGTCATTTTCCATGCGGGCAGCTCCTGCTTCGGTATTCAAAGGAACATCTGTTGTAGTGCCTTCATCTATATCCTCCGGTACAACGTTTGTAGAAGTAGCAGTGGCGTTCGCCATGATCGTGTCAAAGGTAGGGGGATGCGTCCCATCGTCCGGCTCGAAGCTTTGCTCTTCCAGACTCTGCATACTGGCGATGATCTTGGCTCGGATAGCCGCCACCTCGTGCTTCGGACGCTTCCCGCTAGTTGAATCCAATTGCGCTAACATCTGCGATGCCATCCGCATGTGAGTCGCCAGCGCAGAGAAATCAGGTTGATCCGCAGCTCCTGAGCGGCCAGGCAAGGGTATAGTCATCTTCCTGCTCGGACTACTCGACCCTGACGTTGATGCCCCCGAAGATCTAGGCGTAGCGAGACCAGACGCTGTAGACAAAGTAGTAGCACCACTGGAAAGCCGCGGCGGTCCAGAACTTGACATGCTCTCTTTTTCCTGGAGAACATCAGTTGCCCTAACCAGAGAAGGGCTTCCCAGATCCCCCGAGACAGGCTCAAATACGCTGTCCGTAGCTACCTCGGTGTTCTTGGTCCCGTTAGGAGTATGCGCGGATTCCGAGAGGTCGAAAATTCTCCTTCGACCTGACCCTTGTTCTGACAAGAGTCTACCAAGCAATCTTTCATTGTCTGCTTCCGAGGGATCGAATGAAAAGTCGTCTCTTAGAACTTCAACCATGAGCAGATACGGCACTTTCTCTGCACTATTCAAGACAGTAGCTTCTGCCGGGTTAAGTCTGACGATTCTATGATGCCGACTTTTACTGGGAATGCCATCAACTAGTGAAGCCGGGCATATTACGGGGATGTCCACTTCAGCCGGCAAGTCCTGAGCTATTAAAGCGAGCTCTGCACGTAATGCACTCAGCCGTGCTGCTTTCGGTACGAGAATCAGACGTGTGGATATATCCTCCAGCGCTGTTAAAAATTGGGTTTGGCACCTGAAATAGTTCTGTCTCAGCAACTTGATCTTTTGCGCCTCAGATAATGCCCCGGGTGTTAGCGGCCGAGCAACATGCTTTTTGTAGACATGCTCCGTCGACCGATGGGCCAGACCTGCCGTCGCTGGTGTTGCGGGCCTTATAGGTGACATTCTCTGCGAATCGTACACTTCTGGTAAAGGCAGAGAGGTGGAGCTGAGCCTAGGATCCGTTGTTTGAAGTTCAAGATGTGGTGGTCGAGGCCGGGGATCTATAGGCTGCAGCATGCTCGAATTTGAAGACGACGCCCGCTCAAGCGAAGGCGACCTGCTCGTTTTTAGCTCAGCATCCGCGTGGAAATCATTACTGATAGGCGAATGTGAATAACTCCTGTCCCCTCTCAGCCGAGAATCCGGAGGAAAAGTGCTACTGAGATTCGTCCCTGAACTTGTCCTACTTGGTTTTGGTCGAGCGTCCGTATGGAAAGTACCATTGACAGGCGTCTTCGAACCCCTGGACGCGTCTTTTAACCTCCTTGACCTCGTCGATCCCGGCGTCGTAGTATTGCTCCTTACGAGCTTCTGCTGCGTCTGAATCGCATCCGAAATCACATTTCCGGTCGACTGAGGCCTCCGCGCCTGAGCAATTGCAAGCGGACCCGCCCATTTTGGGAGAAACGGCACGGCAACACTCGCCAGCACGAAACTGGCCAGCACCGTCACTGGCAGGACATTCTCCTTAATCTTTTCATTCCTTCCCGGCTCGACACCCCCAAACACAATATTCTGCACCTTGTTAGAAATCCGCCTGCAGGTCTTAAAGGCTTCGGACTGCGGGTTCGTGGAGAGATCATGGAGGTAGGTTTGAAAAAGCCAGAATGTCTGTTTCCCCCTGTCAGCAGAGCTCCCCCTATCGCATCGCTGGTTTCCGGACAGGCGCGGACACGTACCAGTAGGGCGGCGTTGACGGATTCTTCGCAGAGGTCAAGGATAAACTCCTCGAGGGCCATGGACTCGTTATCGACGCTGATTATCAGGTGGCAGAGCTGCGGGAGGAAGAACTCGATCTCCTCGTAGCTGAACTGGCGGAGCTTCGAACAGAGCACATAGTGGATGCCGACGTGGTCTTCGTAGCGTCTGTGGAATGCCCAGCGTCAGCACCACCTTCCCATGAATTTTCCCATAATGTCCCAAAGACGCAGAGGAGGAGGGAGAGCCCGTACGACAGGTATGCCACCGAAAGGAACGGGTTCTGGTTGAAAACATCGCTCTCGATGAATCGCTTGAGCAGGTCCCACGACATTGGGACCGGGCTGCTAGGCGGTATGGACGGAGGGCGCGGTGAGGCACAATGCCTCGAATGATCTCGACATCAAACACGACAGGGCAGAGCGATGCGATTCTGGGACTTAATGACTGACTATCGGGGCGGGCGACGCGAATACTCAATTTCCAATAACTCTGAATTTAGCGCTCGAGGATTTGAGGGGGGGGGGGTTCGAATGATGCCAAGTTGCCATCCAGCGCAAGCCAGTGCCTCTGGCGCATCGGAGCACTCTAGCCGAGCCCACTTTTCAAGAAGAAGCTCCCCCTTTTACGCTTAGCATGGTCGAGTCAGACAGTTTAGTCTTGATATTGACGTTCTATAAAAAAGAAACGAATTTGAGAATTTGTAAAGCCGTTTAGATTGTACTTTGAATTTTAAGGGGTTGGCATGCAGATGCCTTTCTTCTTTCTAGTTCTCCAAGCGTCGCGCCAACATGGATTCATTCGTTGACGATCAAGTTGGGGAGATGTAGGAAAGCACTAATGCTCGTTGGAATTTTCATATTATGATGCCTAAGCATCGTACTCCACTTATACCGCCCATTGCCGTTGTACCAGCCTCCGGTAGACTCATCGAAGAGCCCTTAAACGCCAGACAGCCGAGAAGCCAGCACCACATCAACGCCCACGAACACCAGAAAGCAAACGAGGAACCATGACCTCATCCTCAAATCGTCTCGTAGCTCTCAACAGCCCTCTCCCCATAAACGGCGTCCAAATTCGCCTTCTTGTCCATGAGTCCCCTCCGCCCATTACTCGTCCTCAACTTTCCTCGGTTCGCATCCAGCAGCGGGCTAACCCACTCGTCTCCCACCTCGCCACCAACCAGCTTCCCATCTTTCTTCAGGTAGGTGGTGCTGCCCAGCAGCGTCGGCTGAAAATTAACGTACAGACCCTCCCACATCCCAGCATCAGCTTCGTATACCTCGTGCATGATGCCGACATGATCCAAAGATTTGAGACTTGAGTTCCACCAGCGCCAGGCGGCGAGATGGGTCGGGCCGTAGGCGAAGTTGTGGATGTCCTGGAGGGAGCGCCAATAGGAGATCAAGATCCGTTCGGTGGTGCCGTTGGCGTCCGTGCGAGTTGTTGCTGACTGGCCGAGGACTGTGACGCCGTTAGTATATATTTCTTTTTGAATCTGTGGGCGAAGGAGGGGCACGAACATCCAGAATCTTGCGTCTCAGCACCATTCAACTCCTCCGTCATTTTCTTCAAAAATCCCCCTACCCTCGCAAAGCCCGGCTCGAATACACCGAGTGGATGATTGCTCTTCGCTCCCAGGAACATAACTGCGACCTTCTGCTTTCCCGGGCCGGTGAAGTTTCCATTAAGATCACGGGGTTGAGCGGTGGATTTCTGGAGGATGGCGTTTGTCATGTAAGGGTTAGGGATGATGTTGTAGGTGATGAGGAAGGTTTTGATGATGCGGAAGAGGAGAAGAGCGACAGCTGGGCCGACTGAGTAGAATCTGGGGATTGGGAGAAGGAAGAGGAGGCTCTGAATGCAGGCGCCGATGAGCAGGAGGGTTTGGAGGGAGAAGTTTTGTTGGAGGGCCTAGGGGTTTTAGATGGAATCGGTGTTGTAGTGGCTGGTGAGAGACTTACACTGAGTTTGACTTGTAGAGAATCGAAAGCCGGGCCAGCAGGACGGGTTGGTGATGCTGGGAGGAGAGGCTTGTATTCCATCTTGACTGTCGTTAGCAGTCGTTGTTGTTGATGTTCTTGTTGTTGCTGTTGTTGTTGTTGAAATAGAAGTGCGAAAGTAATATCGGAAAGAGCTCAGTGTTATAGGTCAGCTCCATATGAAGTCTCGACCAGGTGACAAAGGGTTGCGGAAATGGGTAATTATTGGAGCCAGACTGTGTTGTGAATGTGATATAGGAAGTGGATCCTTTCACCTATAGGGAAGCGATCGTTCAAGTTAAATACTCTTGCACCCTTGATGTCAAATATCAACAAAAATGAAATACGCTAACCCGATCCAGTATGTACCTTTCAGAGGCACGCATGTTGTTTTAAAGTTCTGATAGGCGTATTGAGCTCCGAGATCGCGCTAAAATCGCATTCGCTTCGTTAGGGCGTGACGATGCTTTGCCACCTCGTGTCTCATACGGCCGGAAAGTACTACTAGTTATTATACTAGTTATTAGTCATGCGCCGCCCGCCTAACCTCTCAAAGGACAAACGGGATCTTTAAAATGTCAAGGAAAACTGAGATGATTGGAAGTTCGCATTCGGACTCGCATTCGGACTCGGGATAACACAGAAGTCAAGCGACTAAATTCGTCAACGACTATCCGACGGCATGCATATGGTATGAGGGCTTGGGTAATTAGAGATGATAGCTGTATCATAATTAATACTCTTCGCTCTTGACGGGTGCAAGGCCCGGTAGATATGGATCTTTATGCCCGACGGACATGGACGGTCGTGATCCATTATTATCTTCACCACTATCAGCTCCCTATGGTAGGAGTTTCGAGCTGAGGATTGAGAGGGCTTCAAAAATTATCACCAGTGCAGATCAACGAGCAGCAACGTTGAGTCTCCTTTTTCCCAAGAGAAAGGTTATACGGCATATGACCAGGTCACGTTACCCATGGCATTTCCGCTTTTCAGATCGTCTATTTGGGCTCTGCAACTTAAAAGTTATGAAAAGTTATGTCTTATTACTCGCCCAAAGCTCGTGCCATTTAGCTGTGCTGTATTGGTGAAAGAGTGTGGAATTACTAGTATTAAACAAACGATCGAGAAATTGGCCGGTCCACACTACGTATAGTGCAGGCCGCCTTAGTCCTTCGGACATTGTATAGGTACTTATTAGCTACTTATTCTGTGGCGAGACAATGACCAGCCTTGAATCAAATCCAGCCTTCCTTGCAATCCAACCTATGGGTTTGCGAATCTCCACGACTAGATTTGCACGGTGCAGAAATCAATGATATACCACACGCAAGAAAAGACACAGGCCAGGAAGAAGGGGATCATCTCGATGTTCAAGGAAGGGAATTAGAAAAGCAATATAAATATACAAAGCTGATCAAAAACGGACTGGAATCGATGGTTACAGCTGCTTGAGGCCGCAAAGCCGAGTAACTAATAGGTAGGTCTGCATTTGAGCGGTCTCGCGATCTAATGCTGATCCATACAGATTTTGGGTTGCCTTTTTTGGGGAAGGCTTTTAAATTCACTGAAGCTGGCCGCGGAACACGGCATCAGAGACTCAGGAATGCTCTGAGATGGCCGGAACCAAATATTCAAGTTGACGTCGACAAGTGACTCGCTCAACGTGGGAAGTGGGTCTATCGAGACGCTCTTTCCTGTTTCGCCAACCAACCAAGTCCTTGCATATAAAGTCTCTCCCCTTTCAAGCCCTATCTGCAATAACAATAACTTTATGTACCGTTTTTTCTGCCCAATATATAATATGTTTTTAATTTTTTTTGTAAATAATATTTCTATCTCATAGTTTATTATTTAACTTTTTATCTTTATCTTGATCAATTCTCAGCGTGCTTAGATTCAATCGACACTCCGCTAACTAACCCCAACGTGACTTTCCGCAGTACTTTCCTTATCGGTTATCGCCCTCGGGTCACGTTTGCGATTGTTATTCGCGGTCCAATCACGCTAAGTCTACCTCTTTCCCCATATATTAATACCCACCATTAACTTCTTCACTTCTCCGGCGACCTATTCATCCTCCTCGACGCCACACCCGAATTCAGATCTTGAGATTCTTAGGCCATCGAGTCGAGTTTGCTTCATCGACTTGCTTCATCGAGATCTCAAGTCAACAAGAAGCAGGTACCGCCGCTATGCCTTCAACTCAAACCACATACCACGAGTGGTCAGAATTCGAGGTGCGCAGATCGATCTACAACCCAAAAATCCCCTGCTTCCCTTCCATACCTCTACAAAATCGTCCTTTGATCTTACTGCCAAAGAGCAAAGAGCATTCTATATGCTCAAGGTCACGTACCCATAGATCTCTATGGCATAGCTTACACCCTATATCCTCTCACGTGTGCTAGTAAGCTAACATCTACCTCATAGCTTCATACGATGCTCTGTCTGATCGCCCGAGGCGTCCATCTGGAGCAACATCCCGAAAATCTTACCGATGCCCCTACCGTAGTCAGCCACAATGCCTACGAGAGATTCTACACTGCCCTCAACACTGCCCTCCATGGCCAAGAATACAGCAAGGACATTCCCAAGAAGGAGGTCATCCGTGTTCTGGACCAGATGCTGAAGGATCGCAAAGGTGTCGTTGGCAAGGGAGGTTTGGTCGAGCGACAGTTGGTCAGAAGAGTCACTCGAACATTGACATATGCTTGGAACCGTCTTTCAAATACCGATTACGATGGCAGCCTGACCGAGTGGAACCAGGGTAGGAAGGAGAAGGTGTTGCTCGAGTATGAAAATCAGAGAAGATCAGGTCAGGTGCCCACTAGGGCTGATGAGACTAATACTGGTAAATTGAAATTGAAATATGCTGTGTTCTGAGTATGCTGACTCCTCGGTAGCGATGGTTGACACTATTGCTTTTGAGCAAGCTGTCACTTCGAGCCACGCAGCAAAGGCAGTCCGCTCAGTTCCAAGAACCGTTCAATCTGGCAGCAAGAAGTACCTCAATGCCAGCCAAATCCCAACCGTCGGAAATACAGTTCTCAACAAGGCCAATCCCAATACCTTCGCGGTGCAACCTACCTCGAGAAGTCTTCGCAAGTACGGCATCAATGATCTGACCATAATCCCCGGAAGAGGTGGTTATGCTCGTTCCGAGTCCTCTGCACCCAAGCAAAAGAGAGCTGGTCGCCGTACTCGTATTGTTTCTTCGGAGTATGCCCACTCTAAGGACTCTGGCACCCGAACTCCTGCTCGCGTGCCGCTTCCCTGCGAGGAAGATCGTCTAGCAGGTGTCTCGGGCGGAGCAGTTAATTCCTACAGCACAGCGGCTGTCACGAGCACTGCACACCAAGAGCCAAGCGCTGCAGGAAACCAAGTTGATCAACGATACCGCCCTGTTGCTAACTTTACAAATAACGGCATGACAAGCAACCGATCTGGTCCTGGTCTCAGCGATGCGGCCTCCGGTATGTACGCTGGTGCCGAGACTACAGCAATTTCACCGTCCTTGAACACCTACATTGGGTCTCCAGACAAGTTCGACACTGCCAGCGCTGCTATCAAGACTCAGCCCGAGGTCGAATATCAGAACGACCTTGCGGGTAATGGTGGCTATGCTGACTTCATGGCTGCCAGAGCTAACATGGACGATCTTGAGGCTGATCTTGAAGCGGATCTTGAAGCTGATTATGAAGCCTATGCTGCTGCTACGATGGAGTTTGATGGGTCTGAAGATGAGTAAATTGGACATCCTTGCAAAAGAGAGGCTGGATGTCAATCTTCGGCTTTGCAATCTGGCTTCTAAGCTTATCTGGCGCTTTGTGCTTCCATGTTGAAGCATCTCTGCAAATCGTGGAAAGTGAATGGAGGTGATCTATGGTCCTCCTGTCCAAGGTTTGCATAGATCACCATCATTCAAGCTTCCGTGTTTGTCATTTTCTTTTGCTGTTTCCGATACTTCTAAAACTTTTCTCTCAGTCGCCACAGCGGCTCAGCCTGGAAATCTAGCGGTCTTCCTATCCTTCAGCAATTGGAGATTGCGGACTTTCAAGTTGGATCACACGGTACTGCGATGATACATGAGCACTCAGCTACGGTGGTTTCTTTCGCGATGCATTGTGGCTTGGGGCTGAGGTTACTGCCTGGGATGGGGTGGAGCTAGGTATGGTGACAGATCAATGAAGCCTAACATCCACATCAAATCGTATTGCGTGAAGTGGTTTGCAGGACGGATTTGAGAACGAAGAGGATTCCCAGTAAAGGTATAGTAGTAATCGGTAAAGGCGTTTTACGATTCTCTCGATGTATTCTGCGTCGAAATCTCTAATCAAGTGTAGCCAGTAATGTGTTTTGCAGCTGAGGCCCAGGAGCTGTTATTGACTTGGGAATATTTACCGAAGAGGCGAAAGGGGATGTCGTTGGAAATAATCCTATGTTAGCGAGGCCCCACGTGAAAGCCAGACGCCAAACCTGGTTTGTCAAGCCGCTCTGAACGTCATCTTTTTGAGCCATCCATCGCATGTACGAAGTATCATGGCACAAATCATCCACTCCAAAACCCGAGACATCTTCATCCATCTTCCCAACCAATCCTCGGCATCAAACACCTGATGGATACAGGCCCGTTACCATCATAATTTCCGAGGGAATTGTATCAGCAGTCGATTTCCAATGGCTTCTACAGGCTCCAACGAAAGCTCCCCTCTTCTTTCTACAACGACGCCCAGCTCGACCGAAGCACAACGAAAAGCTCGAAATGTAACCTTCAACCCGAAACCTTCGGTGATATCGATCGACAGTGACACAAACGCTGCTCCTCGCCCAAGCACCGCAATACCATCCTCCCTCCTCCCCGGAAATGCCTCCGCCGCAGCACAGCAACCCATGCTCTCGGCGCTGAACAGCAGGATCCGTCGCAGAAATAGCTCGGGCTCCCCTCTTATGCCTATGCCGAACGTTCCAGTATCCAAAATAGGCCCACAGAGAACTTCGAAAAATACAGAGAAGCTCAAGCTTCTTCCTAACCCCGAGTTTGGTGACGATGGCCCCGATGAAGAGAGCGGTAGGGATGTGTATTCGCAATATACACGGATCAAAGACCCGACTGCAAGACGAGACGCTGCTAGGTTGGGGAAGGCAGACCGCGATCGGTTACCAAGGGTTACGGCCTATTGTACAGCGAGTAAATACCAGCTGGATAATCTGATGCGCTTCTTGAAAGGACGGGGCAAAACGAAGGGCGCAAACCCGAAGCAGTTCGATGAATGCATATACACACCGTATAGCTATGGCAGGACCCAAGACCGTACGTCGAGCAGGAAAATGGATGTACAGTCTCTGCCGGCGCAGATGCGAGAGAGGAGACATTCGGATAGCGCTATTCAGGCGGAAGAGAACAAATCGCATCGCAGGGAGAATCTGACTGACCTACATACCGAAGGTGGAGATGTCACTCTCAGTAATGGCGATGGCGATATCCCAAATTTACATTCTGCGATGGTGGAAAGACAAATGCAAGACGAAACGATCGCTACGGAAAGCAACTTAGATTTCGACACGCAGATCCATACTCCGGAGATCTTCCTCTTCGACTACGGCGTAGTAGTAATCTGGGGCATGTCGTTACAGAACGAGCAGCGGTTCCTGAAAGAAATAGCAAAATTCGAGAGCGAGAAGCTGGCTGCAGACGACGTGGAGACGGAGTGCTTCAATTTCTACTACACGCGGGAGTACCAGGCCCGGATATACAATGATTTCATCACGCTACGAGAGAAGGGGAATTACATGACCAAACTTGCCATCTCGCACGCCTTGGCGCAGAGTGTAAAGGTATGCATCCCACTTCTATTCCTGTGTTGTACATACCTTTTGGATCGACGGACAACCACTAACTAACCCCCAGACATCCCTTTTCGAAGAGCTCGTCGACCACACCATTGAAACCTGCAAAGATATCCCCACGCAAATCGCCCTCACCGGCACAATCGCCCTCAACCGCAAGCAGATTAACATGCAAATCGGAGAGCTCTTCATCCTACGTATCAGTATTCATCTCAACGGCTCCGTCCTCGACACGCCCGAGCTCTTCTGGACAGAGCCGCAGCTGGAACCTGTGTACCAAGCTGTCAGGAGCTATCTGGAGATGGATCAGCGGGTGAGTCTTTTGACAGAACGACTGGATGTTATTGCGGACTTGCTAGCCGTGCTGAAGGATCAGTTGAGTCACGGACATGGGGAGATGTTAGAGTGGATTGGTAAGTTCTTAACTTCTCACACTCTTTGATTTACTTTCTCAGCCTTGATCATGTTCTGGAGCGGGGGACTACCTTTTTCGCTTTCGGCGGAAATCAAGTCAAAATACAGCAACCACGTACTAACGAGAAAGCAGTTATCGTACTCATCGCCGCCGAGATCGTAGTCGCCGCCGTGAACATCGTTGTGGATCTCTACGCAGGAGTCGACTGAGTAAGAGACCAAACAAACCCAATTAAACCCAATGCCATAACAAAAATGCCTCTTAAACCAGTGAGAGCCTTTCAATATTGTACCTCCGACTTCGTATGCAAGGCGTTCCGGTTTTATTAGCGAGACGCGTGAGGGTTTACATTTCTTATTAGGGGTTGGGGCGACAAACAGGCTGTTTAATGAGCAAGATGGGAGTGATCCAGTGAGGAACGTGTATATTTACTGTATATAATAACTACCTACGAGCCGGGCGAGCTGGCTGTTTAGGACTTAGAACAAGGCTGTGTAAGGATCAATCACATACATGTGCAAATGAATTATATAGTATTGAGCCAGGAGTACGCAATTGAAATAACATTGTACTTGTAGGTGGGAGAAGGCGCCTTTTTTTGTGGGGCGGATTGGGTAGAAGTAAGAGTGGCTGGAATCTGAATGGTCACTATCTTATGGAATCGTACTGGACAATGTGAGGGATTGTTTGGCGCAGTTGTCATGCCTCTGATTGGCGGGAAAAGTGAGAAGAACAGCATGCAGTAGTTTCATCGATTCTCGCGAGACTTTTGCTTCTAGCTACCCACCCTTTCTATTCCTGCTTCCCGGCCAGCCGATTCCCGCAGAGCATTCGCAGAGCATCGCTCCGAATACGCCTTTCGCCCCCAGAAACGCCATGACCAGGGCCAGCGAGTGTTGAATATGTCAATCCGGCCTATTCCCCAGCGCCAACGCCAAGCCCAACTATCCATGTCGTATTCAAGCCCGATTGACAGCGGTAAAGCCTCCCACCGTATCAGCTGCAGCAGGCGTCCCGGAATCTTCAGCCATCTCTACATCTTCATCTCCCTCCTCGCGATTGAGCTCGCCATCCAAAGTCTGCCTGGCAGCGCCATCACTGATTCCGACCTCTCTCTCGACCTCAGCCGCTCTCGTCGCCTGCTGGCGCCGTTGAGCATACTCGTGTTTCTGCGTTAGATCTAGCAAACTCCATCCCCTAGCCAGTGCGGCCTCAACGTCAGATGAATTTTCCTGCATCAGCGGGTGGCCAGGTACCAGAGTCGGTATTATCTCAGCGCGGTACTGGTCGTATCCGTCTTTAGATTCGCGGGCTTTAAGGGGAGCTGGGTTGAGACTTGGAGCCGCAGCTATGTATGTGCCGTTGGTTGGGAAAGGCCGCTTGGGCGCGACCGAGGCTTGGGGAGTTGAGTTTCGGAGAGCTTCGGGCTGCGTTTGACTATGGGAGAAAGCATCGGAGGAGGGGGAGAGGGTAACGGGTCCTTGTTGGGCGAATGTGCTTCCGAGACGACCGTCGCCAAGCTCTGTGTGGAGAAAGTCTGGTTTGCGATGGCCTCTCTTGATTCTGAGGGGCTTCTCTTTGGGCTGTGGAAGGGAGCAGCGTTAGGTTTAAATCGATCTTGGTCATGGCGGAGAGTTAAGAATGCGTACAGATGGTGGTGGACTTGGGCTTCCGTCCGAATCTTCAACATTGGTGCTTGTTCGCTTAGCCAGTTGCTCCAAAAGAAACGAACGCTCGAGGCGCATCTTTTGGACTGCGCGGCGGGCTCGGTCTGTTCGTATACGTTGTGAATCATTGGCTTGCTCTACCTCGCTCAGTCGTTGTTTGAGTTCGATACATTTCCTTCTGTAGGCTTCTTCAACTGTTGGAGGAAGCTCAGGCGGAATAATGGAGCCTAGGAAATATGTTAGCGTGCGAGTACAAGTGCATCATTGATGATAGAGTGTGCTGAGGTCGGAAAAACTGCTGTTCATAGTTCCAGCAAGCTGGATTTTATTTATTTATCCCGAGTCGACTGGAAAAACGCCACTGAGTGAGGGAAGCTTCGTAGGGTAGACACTTTGCGCGGTTCGTTTAGGGAGAATGCTGGCCATAATACAGTTGTAAATAGCAGAACGATCCAATTCAGTCTCTGGGAAGACAGGAAGGAGACGAGGATATGTCTCGAAGGCAATCTTCTTATCAGATCATCTTAACAATCCAACCAGCCGGCAGCCAGAGTTGCGGCTGTGCTGCCAGTTGGCAGGGACAGATAATTCATTTGTATATCTTTCAGAGATTGCCTAGATTTGCGGTATTTCCTTCTCTTATCATGGCCAGGTGGCTTGGATGGTCGGCTGCAGGGCAGTGTCGGCAGAGTGACGCTGCTGCTCCCAGGTGCTATGAAGTCCCGGCAGTCGGTGGCCAGCTTGCCTGGAATGGATACTCTTCGAGGGAAAACTGGTTCGGGAGTGTGTTCGATTATGCTGTTCCAGAGGGCACTCTTATTAAAGACGTGCTTTTGCGGCTCTTGAGTGTGTGAAGTTGATCGATATATCGGCGCAAAGGATATAATAGCTATAGAAGCAAGGCGACATCGATCCAGCAGATTCAGGGCAGAAGAGCTTCCTGTCTTCCAAGTCCAAGGGAAACAAGAACGGGTAATAAACTTGCAACTCACCAGGTGGAGGAGCCATTATGAGCATGCGATCCTTCGTGAGGATCTTGGATTCTTTGTCTTGCAAGTGGCTCTAGATTTGCGATTCAGTATCGACGACAACGTTGCTAGGGACGCTCAAATGAAGCTATTCATATTCCCCAGATTGTGATCCTGCGGATAATCTATTGATCCGAGATACCCTGCTTAGGCCCGGCACGCGAAATTTTGTGAGAGAACGCGACGGACCTCACCTCATCGTAGTCATTCACAACAGAACTTGACAACCTTCCCGTCATTCTCCGCACCGTAAAAATGTCTCTCAACATCCCTAACGCACCAAACGCGAACCTTTTCAAGCAAGGATACAATACGTAGCTCTCCCCTTCTTCATATTCTCTCTGTTCCAGCTCAACTGCTGACTTGGGTAGCTACGATTCCGAGGATGGAGCTGTCTTGCGAAACATCGATGCTTGCCGTACTATCGCCTCAACTGTGCAGACTTCCCTGGGACCTTATGGCCGGAACAAAATCGTTATAAATCATCTGCAGAAGATGATCCTCACCTCAGATGCCGCCACTATTCTCCGCGAACTCGATGTCGTACACCCAGCAGCTAAATTGGTTGTGATGGCAAGTCAACAGCAAGAGGCCGAGATGGGAGATGCTACCAACATGGTTATCGTCCTTGCGGGCGAGCTGCTGAGGAAAGCAGAGGATCTGTTACGAATGGGACTCAAGACCAGTGATGTTATTCGGGGCTATGAACTGGCTCAGACATTTGCTCTCCAAGAGCTCGAGAATTTGGTTGTGGACAAGGTGGAAGACATCCGATCACAGTCAGAGCTCAGCAAGGCCATCCGGACGGTCGTTGCCAGCAAGCAGAGTGGTAGTGAAGATTTCCTGGCAGATATGGTTGCAGAAGCTGTTCTAGCTGTGCTGCCCAAGAATCCCGTCAACTTCAACGTCGATAACGTCCGCGTGGTCAAGATTATGGGAGGAAGTCTGGAGCAAAGCAGAGTTGTTAAGGGTATGGTCTTTGGTCGCGAGCCAGATGGATCTGTCAAGAAGGCTGTGAGAGCCAAAGTGGGAGTTTTCTCCTGCCCGATCGATACCAGTGTGACCGAAACCAAGGGCACGGTATTACTACACAATGCTAAAGAGATGATGGAGTTCACCAAGGGAGAGGAGACTCAGCTCGAGGCCCAGATCAAGGAGCTGTTCGGCTCCGGTCTTCGTGTGGTGGTTGCCGGATCCACAGTTGGAGAGCTTGCCATGCACTACCTGAACCGTTTTGGAATTCTGGTCATCCGAATTTTGAGCAAGTTTGAGCTCCGCAGATTATGCAGAGTCGTGGGAGCTACGCCACTGGCAAGACTAGGCGCACCTATGCCGGACGAGATGGGCAGTATTGACGTTGTTGAGACCCTGGAGATTGGAGGAGACCGAGTCACAGTTTTCAGACAAGAGGGCGAGGCGACAAGAACAGCCACACTTGTTATTCGAGGCGCAACGCAAAATCACCTGGATGACATTGAGCGTGCCGTTGATGATGGTGTTAATGTTGTCAAGGCCATTACTAGAGATCCAAGATTGGTACCTGGTGCTGGTGCTACAGAAATGCAACTTGTCGAGCGGATACAAGCCTTCGGGGACAAGACTCCTGGACTTGCACAGTACTCTATTCGCAAGTTCGGCGAGGCGTTTGAGGTCATTCCTCGAACTTTGGCTGAGAGTGCTGGTCTTGACGCTACAGAAGTTCTGAGCAGACTATATACCGCACATCATAAGAAGGACAGCTGGAATACCGGTGTTGATATTGAGGTAAGTGCACGCTTTCAAGATCTGCAGACACTGCTAACGAGTATCAGAATGAGGATAACACCGGTATCTTAGATGCAAAGGGCGAGGGAATCCTGGACCTCATGATCTCGAAGAGCTGGGCTATCAAGCTTGCAACTGAGGCTGCTAGAACTGTCCTTTCTGTAGACCAGATCATTGTTGCGCGACAAGCTGGAGGACCAAAACCACCCGGACCCAACCCTGTCAGTACCCCTGATTCCCTATGCAGGCTTGCACTAACATTCCACAGAACTGGGACGAGGACTAGATGTTACGTGAGAGGCGCTAGAAATGTATAATATCACGGTTCTTGATGCTTTTGAGGAGCGTTCATGAAGTGAATAATGAAGATCATATCCATCGATGATTCTGGGTGCTTTCTCATGTCTCACATGCCTTAGAACTTTCTTTCTGCCATTTGGGGTCTCTTCATGGCCTGCTAACAGTTCTTCCAGCCCGCTCGTTGAGAGCTTAATACTTCAAATTGATGACGATGAGGCTCATTTCTCTGAGATTGATGTGGAACTGCAGCAGGAGCTGAAAACACCCTATGTACCTTCGTATATTTACCGCATTTGGCTCTTTATGATAAGCTGGCTGAACAAATGACAGAGACTATAGACAATTTATCTGCTGAACCTCTCGGGGTTCATGAGAGAACGAAGATTGGTGGGAGAGTGAAAATGGGCGTGGCGGATGATGCATAATGGGTGCATACTAGGGAGGCTGTTCAGAGCGAAGAGTTGGGCTGGTTCAGTGCTACATTTGCGGTGCCTGATGACGAGTTGAGATTTAGAATGAAGAAGTATGTTAAAGTTTTGATTAGGTCTGTAACTTGTTGACTGTGAAGGCTGAAGAAGACTTTATTTCAAACCAGAGTAACATATCCAGTAAAACTCTGGATTTTTTTTCCCTCGATTTTATGGATAATGCCTTTTATCTGAGATGAGTATTGTCGAAAACCTTGGTTTCAATATTCTTAATATTCTTAATATTCTTTGAAAATTTAATTTATGGTTTTGATAAGATGTTTGAATCCTTAAGGCCATCCACCTCCTGATTGATTCTGCCCGTGAGAAAGTTGGTAAGCTGAGAGCCTGTCCGGCCGAGGTATGCAGATTAGGAGGTCAATATGCCAATGTATATATATATATATATATATATATAGATCTATGCGTGATCAACTTAAAGCTATAAGTTCCGGGGACAACAAACAGGACAGTCTCTTCAAGCATTCCAAGCCAGCAAGTAGCGTGGAGAGTACGCTAGACTGCCCATCCTGGTGGTGTGATCACGTGATATATACATCTATCCTATGTCGCAGCCGATCTACTTATCAAAGCTTGAATGGATTCTCATTAGCTTCACAATCTATTTGCAAGAAATTTTGCCGTCGAGATTTAGTCACTCACATCTCTTCACCGAGTGATATTTACCTTAGGCGCAAAAGGTTTACATTCATACAAACGCGTGAAAAGTACTGGTCAATCCAACAACGTCGAACTCTGCCTATAAATGCGTCGTAGCATACGCCTGGCGAACTCCATTCCTCATCTAGCTAAACGACCTTGCACGAACAAGATGAATATTTTCAAACTTCCAGGCACAGAGGTGCCAGTCAAGCTCATCGACGGCCTGTCCAAGGATGAGCTTCTCGAATTCCCAGCCTTCAAAGCGAGAGACCCCCTCTTCCCTTCAGAATCCGCACTGCTAAGAAATTGACAGAACTGGATCAAGACCCTCCAGTCCAACATGGCTCTCCAACGCAGCCCGCAGCACACCTACCACAGCAGCCCCTACGTCTTACGGGACATCAAGATTCAAGCCATCGACCGCTTCGGCAAACGAATCGGCTTCATGAAGATCGTCGCGAACATTACCAACTCCTCCGGCGAGTCCCTTCCTGGCGCCATCTTCCTCCGTGGCGCTTCTGTCGGTATGATGGTCCTGCTCCAGCCTGATGACCTGCCTGCAGATAGCCAGGCGGAGAAACACGTGATCCTCACTGTGCAAAGCCGTATTGCGACGGGGGGGCTGCAATTCGTGGAGTTACCCGCTGGCATGGTAGATAATGGTACCTTCACAGGGGCTGCGGCGAAAGAGATAAAAGAGGAAATCGGCTTGGAGATCCCGGAGGGGGAGTTGATCAACATGAGTGAGTTGACCATTACGGAGGACAAGCATGGAGAGGAAAGCTGCCCGAGAGCGGTGTTTCCGAGTGCTGGGGGCTGTGATGAGTATATCCCGATTTTTTTGCATGAGAAGAGGGTTCCACGGGGGCAGTTGAAGGAGTGGTCGGGGAAGTTGACGGGCTTGAGGAGCGAAGGCGAGAAGGCATGCGTCTCCTTCCAGTCCTTTCTTCAATTTCTACTTGGAGCTTATAGAAGGCTGACTTGGGGCTACAGATAACACTCAAGCTCGTCAAGCTGGAAGACTTGTGGTGCGAGGCTGCTAGAGATGCGAAGGCTTTGGCTGCATGGGCAATGTTTGAAGGTCTTAAGCGGAGTGGAAAGTTGTGATGTTATTGTATTGCGTAAATTAATGCAAAGCTTGTGATATGCGTGCCGTAGGATGCGAATTTCAAGTGAAATTCGTGGGCTGATTTTCTCGATGGATCCGTCGAGACTTTTTGTTTCTTTACTAGCAAGCTTGGACGTAGTGATTCGATGCAGGAGCCTGGCCAAGGGCCGAGATGACTTATCTATATACAAGTCTAAAATACTATACATGATTGAGATCCTCATGGCGATCTCATCCCCAGGATCGTACAGAAAAATCATTTTCCGTCCTAGTAGCCCTGGCGACTAGATCTGGGGCGCTCCTTCCTTGTCGGGTTTTGCCGAATGCCAAGCGGGAAAAAACAATGACGTGCTTTTGACCTTCGTCGACTTCTAACCTTCAACAACTCGAATTCTAGAAATACACCGACTCAGTCCAACATATCGTTCTGTACCTCTTCTATATCAACAAAACCTCTCATAATTGTCTTCCCCCTTTTCGCACCACTCCACCATGGCTCCTATCCACGCTATTGCGCTCCTCCTGTGTCTGCTGAGGGCTGCCCAAGGCTACACGCTGGTACATGACTATAACTTCACCAATTGGTATTCGAGCTTCACTTTTGAAGACGTAAGTAGAGACCTCAAGATCTATCTGCACTTGTCTTATTCGTCCAGCTCCCCGATCCCACGAAAGGATTCGTCGACTACCAATCTCTCGAGGATTCCTTATCCCTCAACCTCACTAGAGTCATTGGGAACCAAGTCTACATGACTGTCGACAACACATCCGTCATTTCCACCTCTTCTACTGGTCGGAAGAGCATCTGGCTCGAGAGCAAGGACAAATTCTTGCATGGACTGCTGATTGGGGACTTTGAGCACATGCCGGGTAGTGACTGCGGTATATGGCCTTCCTTGTAAGCCAACCCTCCAGCCTGTCTTTTGAGCAGTCCTGACGTTGTATCTCTACAGCTGGTCATTTCACAACTACAACGCGGGCGATCTGGACAACTACGGCGAAATAGACATTCTGGAAGGCTTCAACGACATCACGCAAAACTATATCTCGCTTCATACGAGCCTCAATTGTACCTTCAAATCACCGGCAAGGCTACAAACAGGAACTCCCAATAACGATAACTACGATTGCAATCTTCGTGCTGGTGCTGGTTGCAGCGTTCAGGCCGGTCGTGGAAGCTATGGCGCGTCGTTCAATGCCCAAGGTGGTGGAGTCTATGCGATGCAGTGGGCGAGCAGATTTATCAAGATCTTCTTCTTCCCCAGAGACTCGATTCCAGCAGATATTACCGCCGGTAAGCCAAACCCAGGGAAATGGGGTCTTCCGACTGCCAATTTCGATAGTCGACACGGCGATTGCGATGTCAACGCGGCTTTTCCGCCGCAGACTGTGGTAAGTGAAGTCTGAAGATTTTTTGGTGTGTTAGGTCTTCAGGAAGATCAAAGCTCATATCAATGTAATAGTTCTTCGACTCAACTTTCTGTGGTGCCGCAGCAGGTGGTAAAGCTTGGACGGATTGGACAGACTGCTCATCCAAGACAGGCTACTCTACCTGCGAGGAGTATGTTGCGAATGTCCCAAGTGCATATGACGATGCATATTGGCTCATAAATTCGGTTAAGATCTACCAGCGAAGTGAGGATATCTGAAGGATTCCACAAGACGTATATTTCATTGTTGCTTGAATCTTGGGGGGCAAGCTAAATTTTTGATTCTATTTCTATATTTCTGAAAGTGATGGAGAGCAAGCGGCTGAAGGGCAACCAGTATGCTGATCAAGGTTCAACGTCATCCAAAAGGCATAAGAAGTTGTATAATTTTATTGTACCCTTTTCATGAGTCCTCTGACCGAACCTCATCTCTGGGAACTCTCATAAACTACCAGACCGTAAAGTGTGATCTTCTGAATGGATGGGACAAGTTGGCGAGCGATTGGGTGCTCACAGTTTTCTTAGGGGCGGGTATGCGCGTCCGCGAAAGCATACAGAAGGTATAAAGTATTCGAGGTGTTTTCGAGGTCGGAATCGCTAGAGCGCGTTCCAAGACTAAACTATATAGAGATTTTTAAAGAGGGTGCCTATATAATGATCACGGTATTCAGATCAAAGTTTTAAATCTACCCAATGTACATCTCGAGTACATTGGCAACCTCGTACGACCTCAACATAGTCTCGATCTTTTCACTATCCCGTTTCGTTAACCGCAGCAACGCCCTCCCGAATTCGTAACGGAGGTCATGGGGGTGTACTGGAAACTGGGAAGGATCCAATGACCGCGTTACGTATGACACGTTGTGTAAAAGATACACACCGCCGTTGTCTTCGTGAAGCTGCTGTGGGCATGACCGGCAGACGTGTGACAAAGCCGTGGCGGTATCCAGACCCAATTCCACTCACTCGGTGCAGAGCCACGAACCGGTTCGTGATATCTCCATGCTCCCCGTGCTCCATGGCAGGAGATGACCCATTCCAATACGAGTTGTAGTACTTGACGAGGTGCTCCCCTCTTTCAGCCACGGCCGGCAATCAGTGGGCCCCAGCGCAGATGGGGGAATATGTAACGGGAGATGTGACCTGCCCACGGGTCGTCCTTGGATCCTGATCGTTCCGGCGTGCTGGCCTGTGAAGCAGGCATCGCGCACCCGTGTGGTGGTCGGTACAGGGAATGTCTTGATCATCTCTCTCATCGAGCAACGATTTCGGACGACCATTGCTAGTGCCCCGAAGATTCTGCACCCGTATCAGATTGCCTGGAGCAGAGGTTGCGAAAAACGGAGAAGTCTCTATGGTCAACGCTCTCCGTGTCGTCTTCGTGGAGGTCGACCTCCTTGATCGTCGTGAGTGGCATACCCCCTCAGTGCCCAAGGGGATCGATCGGATCACGGCTGACAGTGGAACGGGCAGAGGCTCTCTGGCGATTCGGTTGGTGACCCTCTGTCTGGGTGGCTGTTGCTCCCTTGCCGTTCGATTCTGACCTAGCTCGGTCATGGGCCAACGCAACTCGTTCGCCTTTGTCTACGCTGCGGTGGAGCGCACGCATCAGTGCCCTAGCCGTGGTCCGTTTCCAGTTCTCCAGAGTCTGGTCTCTCTGTCTGCTGGAATCATATTTGCGTCCCGCACCATTGTAACAATCCCAAAAAAGAGAGCCGCCTCTCCAAGATTCCTGGGTAGGCTATGGGATGCAGGCTCCATTCTGGCTGTGTGGTCGGATCTCGGGTTCTTGCTACATATGTCTTAGCTCACTGACAAGGACATCTATTCGATGCTCAATGAGGAATCCAAGGAGGCGCGAACCTGACGGCTAGATAGCTAAGAGTATTCGCCATGATGGCTACGTGATGCTCGTAGGACTGCGGTTTGGATGCGAGGGCGGAGTCTAAGAAAATGTCTTTATACAATTTTAACCAGCTTTCATCGACCCAAAATAAGAACGGGCAATAAGTCGATCTAGGTGCGCTTACCTGAACAGATATCCCCTACTCCTCATCCAGTCACCAAGGTCAATCCTCTTTAGACGCTATGATATACTTACGAGGCTTGCCACGACGCTCGAGTAATCATGGACGTACAAAGGTACTTATCCCTCGAAGCTCTTGGGTACCCTTAGGAGCTTACAAAAGAAGACGAAGGCGGAGAGCTCAAGACCGCGATCGTATACACTGAGCCGGAATCCTTTTTTTTTTTTTTTTTCAATCGAAAGGGCGGGGCAGGGAGAGTACTACTCAACAGATATCCCCGACGGCAGACTGCACAGTGATGGCATGGCGTCTGCTCTGGTCCAAACCCTGCAAAAGATGTGTATCGAAGTGGGGCTCCGGGCTACCCTCAGGAGGCACAGCGGGTATCCATCCAGCGCATTCTCGTCGTTCCGATAAGTCGATACAACATGGCGAGATATAGAGCGCGAAGCAGGAGAAGAGAGAAGATAAGTAGGGTAGGGTATAAATCGAAATCCCCTGGCGCTAGCATGAGCACCAACACGCGACTTAGCTCAGAGCTCCTGCCTAAAGTAACTCATGAGTAAATCGCGACGTACAATATTTTTCTCGTGAGTTATGAGTTATTCATCGAGCAAGCTCGGAAAAAGGGTTAAAAGAAAAAAGAAAAAAAAAAACCCCCCCCTCCACCCTTTCTGCATCGGTCCTCGATAGAGATATGCCGTGAAGAAGAGCCGCACTTTGAAAAAAAAAATCAAGCAAGTTTGCTTTTTCCATCGCCAGTGTGCGAAGGATCTACGCGCGAGAACCTGGTGACCGCTTCATTTCCCCCCCCCCCCGATCGAGCCCGGCCGTGCATTTGTGGTTTTCGGACCTCGTCAGCCTTGATGACTAGCGCTTGCTGTGCCGTATCTTTTGCCTTGGGAGAAGTCTCAGATAAATGATTATGCACTTCTCCGAATGGAAATCCGGGTCGTGAGATCGATTGTCGATCCATGCGAGAGAGTCGCGAGAGAGACGAGAGCGAGACGTGCCTTCAAGCTGTCGGAATATCTCTGCGGTCAATATGTCTATCAGGACCGAAAGTTGCTTTCCTAGGAGGGTCCGGTCGGACGGGACTAAGAAGGGAGGGAACCTTGGATGCGGCGACGTGGGCCGAGTTCGCTGTTTGACGGGATCGCGAAGAACATGTGCCATTCCGCATCTGTGGCTTAAAATTCACACGGAGAAATTATATGTGCATGAGGATTTCTCGTAACTCGTTGCGGAACCTTTATACAGCGAAGTGGTCTTGAGCGCAGCTTATAGTGTCACGCTCCGAATAAAGACACCCGGCCAACCATTGTACTTCGAATTGGCAAGGTACTTGTCCGGCTTGCTAGTTAAATATGCTGAATTTGTTCATATAGTCGTAAAGACTCCGCGTAGTGCAAGTGATACTAATAATCAATTAACAAACAGATTGAAAAGGTAAAGCTAACAAGACACTTACTCCTACGCCGCTCCTTTATATCGGTAATAATCTATCCCCACCCTTTAACCTTCCGTAGCAAAGGTTCAAGACACTTTCTTCAACATCGTAACCCACGCTTCTTCCATAAGGATAAAGTAGAACCAGCGACGCACACTTTGCACGTCCTGGAGCATCTTGGAAACCCAGGGTTGTTATAGCGTTCCCGGGTCGAAGGGCTACTCGAATCTATTCATTAGCATGTGTTCCAAGCATCTCCTATTGGGACAAAGAAGAGCCAGCAAGGCGCACTCTGCACGTCACGGAGTATCTTGGAAACCCTTGGTTGTGGTTGTAATGGGCGTCCCCAGGTCGGAGAGTCACTCAAATCCACTGATTAGAGGACGACAACACAATATCTGCCCTGACCTAGTAGAGACTACCGATTTTCTTCTTCAGTATGTTTCATCCCTGCTGGCGGGACAATTGGACACAGCGGGCTAGCGGCAGTACGCCAATCTGAGTAAGGACTGTCTAATCGGGTTTCGAGTTCTAGATAGACTGCTGGAGCACCACTACCGTTCTGTTAGCCATCCCAAGTTGCAAACAGGTTAGATCGAAATCCTACGAAAGGAGTAGGGCAGATAGTTTACATACATGACAAGGCGTCTTGCCCTGAGCCTTACAGTCAGTTGCTGGCTGGCCGTCCGTCCATGTGGCCTACCTTCCTGTCGGCTGCACAGGCAAACCGGGGGTGAGAAGTACAAACTATACTCAAGTAATCCGTGTACCAAAGTATGTCCGTGGGGTCTGAAGGAGGGAAGCTATTCTAGGTGGGAGGGAGCGCTATATGCTGGTGCCAAGGCCGGCGTACCTACCTTAGTCACGTGACCTGATATCTGTCTACATTCCCACACTTCCCAATTTTTCCGATGTATGTTTTTGTCGGGGGGAGCTCACCCCTGGGCCACGGTCGTCCTAGTCGTCGCTCTGCGCGGTCATGATGAGAAACACTTCTTGGTGCCCAGGGAATCTGAGGGAAGCTTACAGCTAGCTAGCTGGCTTGAGCCAGAAGCACTGCCAAATGGTGGCGAGTATAAGCATTGACAGAAGCTTTTCATACAAGTGGAATGGTTACCCAGATTAGTTACCTAGGTTTGACGATAAGAAAAGCTGTAGCTCTATTTCGTGTGGTGAAAGGTGAAAGTAAGATCTAGTCGAAGCTTGATCTAGACGCTAGGAGTATCAAGCATTAAAGTGTAATTATGATAAACATGGACTGGAAGGTGCACCAAGAGCGAAGCATTGTAGGTGAATATCTTAGAAAACAGATCACAAGGTTTAACTGTCTTGTGAACAGTAGATCTGAGCCCGATCTCGCTCTCTTTATTCGCATATTGATTGCATAGCGTCAAGTGTAACTAACAAGCGCACAGCATCAAGAAACCACAAACAGAACAGAGCAGAACAAAAGATTAACCCCTCCCCTACACATCTCCTTTCCACACACCAAAGTCATGCGACCAAAAAAAAACATAAGCCGGATACCAATAAGATCTTCCTTATTGTATTGCGATGCCGGCGTCGCTTGACGCAGAGCCCTTTTATCTCGGGCATCAACCCCCCACCTGTCTCACCCACCATCTCCCCCCAAGTGGGAAGTTGCTCATTCGATACGCCCCCGCTGGTACGGAGGGCTCCTCCTGAGATCAAGCTCCACTTATGGATATGTGCTACGCACCATGGAGATATGGCGCGGGTGGGGGAGGAGGGGGAGGAGGGGGGTTGCCACAAAATCTACAACACCAAATCCCCACTTTCCCTCGCCACCAAAAAAAAAAAAACAAACAAAAAAAAAAAAACAGAGGAAGTGAGAGGCGAAAGGACGAGTCGTATTGATGTGTACGGACCCTCCAAGGGAGAAAGCTAGGCTGAACACCGCGTCTGCTTGTTGGTCGAGCGAGAACCTCGGATGCTTTGGGCAAGGGGAGTCCACGACGTCCTCGGAGATGCACAATCCTGGATAGAGGAATGCGGCGGCTTTTTCCTCTTTCCTCTTGCAGCATGGATGATTTGGCAAGCTCGTGTTGAGAGGCTAGCATTGAACGGCGCTGAGCCATCAGCTGCGGCGGCGGGAGCATTCGTGCCGCTGGACGGGATCGAGACTTCTGATTTGAAGGGCGCTTGTCTTGGTCGCTGGACCCTTCACGAGTAAGAAGTGCTTCGTTCGACAGCGGCCGCTAGACAGGTACATGAACTGCAAAGCCTATTTTGGACCCTGAACTCTCTTCGTAGGGAGCTTTGGAGGTTCGGTATATGCGCTAGTGACCCTTGGCGAAGGAAGAGACGGATGCCAACTAAGCGATGATGGAAAGGGAGGTGTGAGCTTCTAGGGAGAGTGGGATGTGGGAAGCCGTAAGATGGAAGTGATCGACGAGTCTTGCTTACTGTCAGTGGCTGCTCTCGTGTCGGGGTTGTGCTGCCATGTGAATGCATCGTTGTCGTTATCGTGAGACTTGAGCTATCCCTTGTTCCGATCGTCGTCAGTCTCCCTATCACACTTATCTAACCGTACACCAAGAAAAGCTGCGTATGACGACTCACGCATACAGATTATGAGACTCAACGCGCTGCACTCCCAACTACGTAGTATATCGTCCGTCTACCCGTAGTCGCAGGTTATCAGGACTCGGCGTGCTTTGAAATACAGCCTCTTCACGAACTTGGCAGACGAGCTGCGACGCCGAAACCCTCAGCGATAGACAGAATTGTTTTGTATGAATGGAAGACTCTAACGAATAGCGATTGAATGCAACGTGGTATAGAAACGGCCTCCTCCTCTAGCCTGGCCAAACCGCCCACCGGAGGAGCGAAGAACACCAACAGTTACACGACAGCAGCGCCGACCACAACAATAACCACAACCAATCTCACAGCCCCCAAGATCTGGTCAACGACCCCACCGTAACCGCTTATAAGGCGGCGAACAAGAAACAGCGTCTTATAACGTTCGAATGGTTTCACAAGAGCGAAGTGTCTGAGAGGCACTGCCGATAGGAGCCCGATCCGCAGTTCGTTCACGCAACCTCCATTCCCATTCCACGTGGGAGCAAGACACCTCCGGTAGCTGATGGCCGGGCGTCTCAACTCGTGATACCTGCCCCCTCCATCAGCTTCCCCAGATTTTGGACGTACGTAGTAGTACGACAGAATGTGAGGCGGATGCCGGGTTGGCGAGTCTCACATCTCCAAGCACCCCGCATTCGCGAAACCGAGACGAGACGATGCGGAGACGATGCGCTGTGAGAACAGACCCCAGGCAGAGGAGATGCAAGATGCGGTGCCAGCGTCATATTTAGCTTTCCTCCAGAAGTATATGCGTCTGGAGTGCGGGGGAGATGTGGCTTGGATGCTGTACGCTGGATGCTGGATGCTGGATGCTGGATGCTAGATGCAGACGGCTCGAAGCTCGGAGCACGCAGCTGGGTTTCAGATTGGCTCTCGATTCTGGGTCTGAGTTTTGATTTTGACTGCATCGAATGAGAGTCAAGAATTGTAGCTCGTCGCGTCGAAGCTGCAGCATGGAGATAGTTGTACAGTAAGTTGCACGACTTGCCCTACTTGACCTACTTGACTCTTGCACGGACACTGCTTTCTGCACGCACACTACTATACTTGCCACCACCACCACCACCACTACTGTCAACATTGACTGGACACCAGCGTCTGGAGATCCCCGCCAAAAGCCAGCAGGTCCTAAGGCGTAATGATAGTAGTATGTACTTGTATGCGTGAATGAACCTACGCATCGCTCCCAGCTTCCTAGTAGTAGATTTTGCCCTCGAGCTAAGTAGCTGCGTCCTCACCGCCGGATCAATTACTCGCCAGCCTTTCCTCCCTTCCTCCCTTCCTCCCTTCCTCCCTCCCCTTTCCCCTATCCCTCCCTGATGATTGACCAGCGAGCAATCCGCAATCAAATACTGTACCGGTACATCCCATTCCCAATGTGCCTCACGGACAGAGAGTCCGCATGCAGAAATCGAGCCGAGCCAGCCAGCCAGCCAGACCTCACGTGGCCAGGCAAACAACCCAAACAACCTTTCCTCGCTTCCAGACCGGCGGCGGCGGGGCACTGCCAAGGATTGAGGGGAAGAGAAGAGACTTTCCACAAGGAGAGACGAAAGCGTCGCGCCGAAAACCAACAGAGTACAGAAACCGCCGACCGACTTGACTGACACGCCCAAGCGAAACCGGCTTGGGAGGAGGGGAAGGGGGGGTGCGGGTAAAAAGACATGACGACATACGGGCTGTATTTTATTTTATTTGTATGTACGTACTATGTACCGGTACACATCGACTTCCGCAGTCCTACCGGTAGTCGGTAGTCGGTAATCGGTCGGCGCTTCGAAGTGGCGACGCAGCCGAGCGCCCCCGCGTCCCTCGCCTGTTTCCAATCCAGACGAAACATATCTGAGGATGTACAGTCGTATACAGAGTCGGAGAGGATAGACGTCTGGACGTCCTACGAAAACGAGAAAGAGAAAGAAAAAGGGGGGAGAAGAAGGAATAATACCGTGCAGCAGGCGTTTTTCATCTTTTCCATCTCTTCCCTCTCGGCGCAACCGCCTCTCTCGAATGCGCGTCCCGCAGCTCCCAAGTAGGTAGAACAAGACAAGACACGACAAGACGTATTACCGGTAGTAAGAGAGATAATATATATATATATATATATATATATCTATCTACTCCCAGCGCAGAGTAGCGGTACGTCCTCTCCACCCGCCCCCATACCGTTCGCTTACGTGAGCTCACGTATGGGTATCGACGCAATCCGATTAATTCTCCCTGCCGAGCGGGAGGGAGAGAGGGCAAGCGGAGAAGAAGTACCTACCTACCTTAGGTACGTACCGGTAGTACGTAGGTATCAGCGACCGCGACCGCGACCTCTCCTTCCTTCCTCCCTTTTTTTTTTTTTCCCACTCGTGAGAGCTGGGGACTCGCTCGGTTCGGGTGAGGAGTGCTGGGGCGTTACATGGTACCTACTTCATTTAGTGCTATTTATAGGCTGTGCTGGGCGAACGAGGCGAGTACGGAGGTGTATGTGAGAGGTAGGTACGGTGGCGGGTGAGGTGGGTAAGGTAAGGCTGCATAGGTACCTACCTTAGGTATCTATCTACGCGGACAGCTCAGCTAGAGGCTGCTTTATCTATCTACCTCTCTCTCTCTCTCTCTCTCTCTCTCTCTCTCGCAAAAAGTATAATCGGATACACTACCTACTACCTACCTACCTACAGTACATCATACAGGCACCAGGTTCCTTGCGACCTCGTGGCTCGCGGCCCTCTCTCTCCAAGGTAGTCATCTCATCTCATTTCCTTTTCATTTCCTTTCTATTTCTATTTCTATTTCATTTCTATTTCTATCTCTATCATTATCTTTCTTTTTCATTTTATTATTCTCGATACGTACAATACGTACGTGCTTCCCACCTCCCAGGTCCACCCCTCCCTCGCTCCGGCCTTGGGCTTGGGCTAATGTAGTACTGTACTACGTATATACAGTAAGTATTGAAAGTGCGTTTATAAAAAGTATATCGATATCGATATCTATACCTATATCTATACAGTATTGCTCAAGCCAGATACCGTATCCCCGTCCATGGTCAGCTCGCGTCTGCTAGCCTGGGAGCTGGAGCTGGAGCTGGGAAACCTTATTTCACCTGCTATGCAGAACGAAGAAGGGAGGTAGGTAGTAGGTAGGTAGGTACTGTAGTAAGTCACCTAGGTACTGCGGAGGGGGTTATAGCATGAGAGATATAGGTATACTTCGTAGTACCGTAGTACGTACTGTACTGTACCGTACGAGCAAGCAAGCAAGCCCGCTCCGATAACCGAAGGGTTTCCTCCTCCTCATCCTCTTCTTCCTCGGGGATTTTTTCCCCTCTCGGCATCCGTCGTCGCACTACTGTACGTACTACGGACGTAGTAGCTGCGCGGAGGAATTCGCTTAGTGGGTGCGTGAGTGAGTGAGTTACTACGTACGTAGTGAGTGAGTTACTGTAGCTTCTTCGGTGGTGCATGGTCTTCCCCCCCACCCCACGCCCCACGCCTCTTCTCCTTCCCTCGGCCAATCAGACAAGCAGACAAGCAGACATGTTTCAGCCTGTCCCCGTCCCACGCCGGGCGAGGTCGTCTGTTCGTTTCTGAGTAGCACCTACTTACTATCTACTACTACTATCTACTATCTACTATCTAGGTATCTAGGTATCGATGCTTTCGAATCGACCTACCGTATCTCTCGGAGCTCGATTGCAATGTAGTAGTATATCGACGGGGTACTGTAATACGGAGTACACGACCACCGCGGGACGGAGGTGCATACGTAGTAGTAGATGTCGATGAATACCGCATAGCATAGCATTGCATAGCATCGCATATGCATATGCAGCGCTGCCTCTACCGTACCGCTCATTCTCCTTCTTCCTCTTCTCTTTTTTCTCTTGAATCATGCGAGATGGGTACGGATAACTAAGTACTAGGTAGTATGAGAGCTTGCAAGATCTGCGTTGTGTGTACAGTAAGAGGTGGTGGTGTGCGGAGTAGGGGGTTGCAGAATCGCCAAGATGGTCCAAGAGGGGAGGGGTGGGGTGGTGGTTGAGTTGAGTTGAGTTGAGTTGAGTTGAGTTGAGATGAGAGCGGGGGGGAGGGGTGGAGGGTTCGAACTTGGAGGTGTTTAATTCAATCGTGGGATGTGGCGATCATGCCATGTTATGCACACTAGTATCTGTACTCTGTACGATGAGTAGAGGGAGAAGAGGGGGGGGGGAGAGAGAGAGAAAGTTTATTCGTACTACCCAGTTGCGCGAGGCTCGGTGGTTGGTTAGCCTTGTGTGTCTGGTTGGTTGTTTGGTTGGTCTTGGCTGTGTTCGATTTACTTTGTTCGTGGCTTGATTACGTTGTTGACTTTTACTTACCGATTGACTTACTTGCTCGGGTTGGGTTGGTGATGGGTAGATCGTTGGCGGGAGCGTTGAGAGATGGAGAGAGAGAGAGAGAGAGAGAGAGAGAGAGAGAGAGAGATGAGAGATG